CCGTCATTAGCGGCTCGTAAAGTCGCCTTCCACGACGAGGAGAGCATCGTAAAGACTCTTAATTGAAGCTGGCATAAATCCACAACCGATTGATAATTGCCTGCACAAAGGGAAAAACGATTTCAATACCATTTATGGTTCAACATGCTCTCCTTTTTCAAACTGGGAAGCTGATAAAAATTTTCTTTATAAAATTAAGACCTTGTTAAATGTAATAGTGATATGTGTAGAGATGGTTACAACATTACATTTGGCGTTTGATTATTATTATAAAGCATTTCATAATATATGCATATTATAAAGTATGTCATAATATATGCACATAATAAAGTATCTCCTACTACATACATTTTATAAAGTATCTCAGAACTAAATACTGAATTGACCATAATAAGATTTTGCATAAGTCAAATTTTTCAAAAATGTTCATGAATTGAATTAAAGCTCTTTAAAATATGCATATATATGTAGAAGATTGACTGCATTTTATTTAATTATATTTAAAGTATTTAAAAGAACAAAATAAAAGTTTTCAAGGAGAGGTGTTTCTCAAAACCTAAAGTTTAGGTTTACACATTTAAAAATTAAAATCATTACGATTCTAAAACACAATTATGAAACATTGAATTTGCAACTAATTTTTCCCTGTGTAATTTAAATTCAACTGATTAACGAAATTCTTTTTTTCATATTTCAGCTTCTTTCTCAAGTTCTTCTTGAAGTGCAATCAAAACTGTCTGAAAAACGCCGGCAATCCGCGGGACATGCGCCGATTTCAGGTGAGTTAGCGCCTCCATCTTAGCTCCACCGATCGATTCTAATACGAGTGTTTCGTCCTTTCCAAATACCAGGTGGTAATCTCCACGCAGGTGGCCGTGGATGGACCACTTCTGGCCATCTCCGACAACATGTTCGTGCACAACAACTCGAAGCACGGACGGAGGGCCAAGCGGCTGGACACCACGGAAGGTACAGGCAACACATCCCTGTCCATTTCCGGTCACCCCCTAGCGCCCGACAGTACCTACGATGGTCCGTAGCAAAATTCCAATTATTCCGACCAATTTTTTCGTTTTACGTAGATCCCCTGAATCCCCAAAAAATCCCCCCAAGCTTTTTTTCGTTTCGTATTCGTAGCAATTGGCAAATCCGCAAGCGATCATCGCATCTGTGAGTTAAACGCAACTAAACCATTATTCTCTGGGATGCTTTTTGCAGGTCTCTATCCACCGCTGCCAGTGGCCACGCCCTGCATTAAGGCGATCTCGCCCAGCGAAGGCTGGACCACCGGAGGCGCCACCGTGATCATCGTGGGCGACAACTTCTTCGACGGCCTGCAGGTGGTCTTTGGAACGATGCTGGTCTGGAGCGAGTTGATCACCTCGCACGCGATCCGGGTACAGACACCGCCCCGGCACATTCCCGGCGTGGTGGAGGTGACGCTATCCTACAAGAGCAAACAGTTCTGTAAGGGATCGCCCGGTCGCTTCGTCTATGTCTGTAAGTGGTCGCAGTACCGTCCTCCCCTCCAGCGAACAATCCATGTCTAACCTTTTGATTAACGCTTCAAGCAGCTCTCAACGAACCCACAATCGACTACGGTTTCCAGCGCCTGCAGAAGCTCATTCCCCGGCATCCCGGTGACCCGGAAAAGCTGCAAAAGGAGATAATCCTTAAGCGGGCAGCCGATCTCGTCGAGGCCCTTTACTCCATGCCCAGGTAAGAGCACTGCTTACATCGTAAATCTGTAGCTGGAGTCTAATACCCAATACCCAACGTGTTGCAGCAGATCCCCGGGCGGCTCGACGGGCTTCAACTCCTATGCCGGCCAGCTGGCGGTCAGTGTGCAGGATGGCTCTGGCCAATGGACCGAGGATGACTACCAGCGGGCCCAGTCCAGTAGCGTGAGTCCGCGGGGCGGCTACTGCAGCAGCGCCTCCACGCCGCACAGCTCCGGCGGATCCTACGGAGCCACGGCGGCCAGTGCTGCGGTGGCGGCCACGGCCAATGGCTATGCACCCGCCCCCAACATGGGCACACTATCCTCCTCGCCCGGCAGCGTCTTCAACTCCACGTCAAGTAAGTACCCTGCTCCCAAGCGCTCTTACTTTGGTGTAGGGAAACCCATCTAATTGGTCGCCTCACCGTCCTCCATTCGATACTTCTATGAGGGAACATAACGTATTGTCAAAGATAAAGGAAAGAAAAAAAATACATAAAAATAAATAAATAATAGATAACTTAAATAACATTTATTTTGTTAGAATTCAAATAAGTTCTAATGATAGGTAAAAGAATTTTGTTTACTGAGAATTCTAAGTGAATGAGTTACGATGCCTAATATTACTATCCAAATCTGTCAGTTATTTTCATCAATTTTAAAAGGACTTTTTAATAATTTCATTTACCTTTTGAAAGATAAAATAAGCAAATTTTTTATATTTAACCCATTAAAAAAAAATTGTATATATTTGTTGTATTGTAAATTTGTTTTTTTTTTTTTGTTAAAGCATTACTTTTTACTTTACCATTTTAAAAAACTAACTTAATATATTATTAATAGTATTGTAAAGTTTTTCTTATTAAGAAATTTACTTTGGCTATTAGAAAAATATAGAACAAATTAAGTTTTCAAAAAAGGAGACATTTTAAGGAGAGTTAAATTTAGCATTGCTGACCATCTTTTACAGAAGGATTAAGTAATTTCATGTTTCCATCATTTACTGATTAGTAAAAACTCTCTACCCAATCAAATCCCTGTCTTAAGTGACCTTAATTTCTATTACAATCTTAAGTTGATTTGAACTTCAGTTTGAATGACTCTCACATGAATACCGCCTCACATAAACTGCATAAACTCTCTTGGCCATATCCCGAGTTTTCCCCATTTTCCCCATTTTCCCCACCCAAACAAAGTGAACAAAGTATGCTCAGCAAAGTGCATTTTCGCCATTAATTCCAACAGTGTCCGCCGTGTCGTCGACGTGGCATCAGGCGTTCGTGCAGCACCACCACGCGGCGACGGCCCACCCGCACCACCACTACCCACATCCCCACCAGCCGTGGCACAATCCGGCCGTGTCAGCAGCCACGGCGGCGGCCGTTTAAGCGTTTCCCGGACGGCCAGTGCCATTTCAGCCGGAGGAGGACCTTGGATGAGCCGGACTTTGGGGCAGAGTAACGACATTTTGTTGAAATTAAATGCTTCACGCCCGACAACCACACCACACCATGCCACGCCAACCACCCACCCACCACCACCCACACACACACACACGGCCAAACACCATCCATCAATCTGCAAGGACGCCCACAAAAATGGCGAGTGGTTGGGTGTCTGGGTGTCTGGGTGGGTGTGTAAAAGCAAATCTGAGCATTCAAAACACACATCCACCATCAACAAACACCACAGACAACACACGATTAACGGTATTTATGATTTCCATTATTACTAAGATAGTAAAGCAAAAAAAAGTCCCCAAAGAGCTTATTATTTTTGTAGATTTGTGTATATATCTCTAGATTTTTTGCGAGTTTGCAATAAATTCTTTTTACATATTTATAAAATATCCCCACTAACCCCAATCATTTCCATTTGCATATATTTCCAGGGGTCAGCAGCCTGAGTTTCAATCCCTTCGCCCTGCCCACCTGCAACACACAGGGCTATAGCACCCAACTGGTGACGTCAACCAAATAATATTACTACTAAATGAGGCTATTGGCAGGCCCCAAATCCCCTCCCCTCCCCGGAGTCGCGCAGATACCACGCCAATTACAAGAAGAAGCTCGAAAGTGCAATAAACAAAAGAAAATGGTTCCAAAATTCAAAAATCTATTGATATAGTTGTACATTTTTTGATTGTATCCCGTTTTTAATTTATTTTTGATTACGCCTCGGTAATAGATTTACACAAATACGCATAGAATACCATATCAAAGTAATGGAAAACATATGAAAAGGGAAGGCATATCATGCAAAAGGCTCTCTTGAGCCACAGAGTTTGGAACGGGCAAATATAATTCTAAAATAGCTTGATTAAACACATTTTGTAAATATTTATACCCAAATAAATAAAACTTACTCATAATCGGAACTGTGAATAGAGGAAATTATACCAATTTATATACCCATGATGATTGATTAATACTAATACGAATCAAGATATACCAAAACAGATACAATTTGAACGAACTTTTGGACATAACTAAATGCTTGTATACGACACTTTCTTGGATTAATAACGAAAAAAAAAAAAAAAAAAGTATGGGAAATACCCTCTGCCAATTGAGAAAACCGAAATCAAAATGTTATATACCTACATAGATATACAAGCCACATTTGCAGCATATCTAAGCGTAATACTACAACACATTTATACCAAACTTTTGGCAAACATATCGTGCACTTAGTCCTAATATCCATATCACGCGAGCCCACACTCATCACATACTCGAACATATTTGTATAATGCCCATCATATCCTCAATTCGAAATTCATTTTGAGCGAGCCACTCTCTATCAACACCAAATCATCATAAGATATACATCCATAACATTCATTTAGCTATTCAAGTCAGAGTGTTTGATAAACTACCGATTTGTTGACTAGAATCTAAGCTAAGCATACACACCCGCAAACGATATCTGGGGGTGCATATACTATATGTAGGGTTAAGTTTATTGTTTATTGCTCGATTTGTAGGAGGTTTACTGTAATTTGTATTCGTATTGTATGATAATGTATGCTTGCACTCCTAGATCTTCAAGAAAACAAAAGAAAATGGTTAGCTTCGCGACTGAGGAGCTCAACCGATACGATAGTGAAGCATATCTATAAGAACCGCATAGACAGCAAAACTTAGCCGCAAAAACGATTTGTAAATTACAATACAATAATTTATAATAACAATCTAGCAACGCTCTCTGTTTTGTAAATCTTAACAAGTTATTTAAATAAAATTTATTTAAAATAAACGTCATACACGATGGAACCGCATTTTTCTTACTATGTTGTACAGCTTTATTTCGGTTTTGCATTTGGGTTAAAGTAAAGGGTGAATAAAAATTGAATAATCAAAGTCTTTGCACTTGGTAGAAAGCGCATAAATTAAATGAATACATAACATATGTATAGATATTTAACCTAATCAGAGGCATGCAATGCAGCTGCCCTGTTGTTTCCGATCCTCGTTTTCTTAATCCTCTGGGTAAATGTATGTTACGCCGGCGCCTACTCATCCTTGGCTGGCGTCGATTCCTCGCTCTCCTTGAAGAGTATCTCCTGGATCTTGGAGCGCACGTACAGTTTGCGATTCAGCGACAAGTGACGCATGACGGGCACCAAGCTCAAAGCGAAGTAGTAGTCGTCGTCCTTTGTCTGTTCCTCGTGGTTTTGCTGGATGATATAGCTGAGCTGCTCGCTGACGGTGGTCAGTCGATCGATGGACGTCTCCAGGTTGTTCTTCAGCTGCTTGGCCGAGTTGTTGTTGCTCGAGGTGGAGGCCACCACAGTGGCCTGGATCCCCTGAGACGCTGCTGCATTTGCCCTGCTGCCACTCCCGCCGCCGGCACCCGAGTGGCTCAGCACGGTGACCTGCTTCTCCTCTACGCCGCCCTCCTCGTCCATCACGTGTATGGGACTGTAGCACAGGGGATCCTCGCTGTAGATGATGTCCTTGATGTCCTCGCCGATCTCATCGTTCTGCTCGTACTCCTCCCACTTCTGCGGCAGGGCCCCAGCTTCGCCCAGATAGCTAGCGACACTGGAATCGATCTTCGGCTTGGCCACGCGCAGTGGCTCCCTCACCGTCTTGGCCTTGGTTATCCGCACGGTTTTCTCTGCAAGCAAAGGATGGGGACTGGACTTAGTGGATGTGCCTTGCGATACATATTGATAAAGCTGCCGATTTGACAACAAATATCATCCAGAGATGGACGTCCCCGATAGTTTCCCGCCGACCCAAGGGGTCGATAGCCCGCCAGAAGAGAGAACTCCAGGGAGATAAAGTTTACCTTTCTTTATGATCGGGATCATCCGAGTTGGTGTGCGTTGCTGCACCGGACTGACCAGGACCTCGTCGCTGTGCTTGTGGCGCAGATGCGTCCACAAATTGGTGGTATTGTTGCCCTTCAAATTGCTGGCCATGCCACCACGCGATATATTGTTGCCGCAGTAGCGGCATATCGCAAAGTTTTCGCACTCCTCGTTAATATCGTAGTGCTGCCACACATTGCTCACGCGTCCCTTGGGCATTTTAATCGTTCTCTTTTGTTTAGTTATTGCTACGTAAAACCCGATTTTTCTTCACAAATTATTTTTTGCGATACTAGCGTTGCTGTTGCTAGTGTTGTCAAGTACTCAGCGTGCCAGTGTTGCACAACGCCCGAACATAGGGACGAAAACAAAGGCCATACAAAAAGAAGTTGAAAAACAAAAATAAAAGGGCAATGAAATGTTTTTATAGAAAAAAATACGTTAAACTAAGCTTTCAAGTATTATACCTTATAAATATAATTTTTCTTAGTGATAATGGTAATAAAATGGTGTTTCTTGGCTTTTTCTGCAAACACTGGATGAGGGGAATTCAGTGTCCGATTTAATTGTTTTCCCGGGGCGACTTTTTAGATTCTCTAGTAGCCAGTTTTAGGTTTTTTCCCGCCCCTAATACAAAGGAGTCCACACCGATGACCCGTGGATTTATCGCGATGGCAGCGGGCACTGATCCGTGCTCGGTTTCTACGGCACGGAGCACGCGTGGCAGTGGAACTACAAGGGCGTGCGTGAGATTCGGATCCCGAACTTACCGTTACTGCTGCTGGAGTGCAGACATCGGTGGCGCAAAAGGGATCCCGTTCCGGTTTTCCCGCTGTAGGACAGCAGATCGCCGCAGGTTTTGCAGCAGGCGTACGGCTCTATTCGGTCGTCGCATTGGACGAGATTGAAAAACCTCCAGACGCAGCTTTTCGTATTCCGGGGCTCAACAAGTTTACACCGCTTGTCGCCGGATTTGAGGAGGCTGCGCAGTTCCGATTTCTTTTCCACATGCATTATGGCGGAGCGGAAGAATCGCTGGAAATCGGTTTGCAAAACGAAAACAAACCCAAATTATAAAATCCACACAAATACAAACAAACTCACGAAATTCAGTCACGCACAAAATAGTGTTGGAAAGCGTGCTAGCGCAGAGTGAAAAATAACAAGGTGGCGGATTATAGTTTCTGATATATGTAGCTAATAAAAAAGGACTAAATGGGCAGATTTAATTAGTTTTTGCACCATTTGTTTAATTAATTAACAATAAAATCTATTGCATTGTTACAACTATTAACATTCTTATTATTGCTGATAGTAGCGATACCGATAACACATTGTAAACAGTATATCGATTAACTCATATATGAAGTCAAACTTTGTAATCCGAAACGTTAGCTTGTTAAAAATGGGAAAAGTTACAAGGGCTTCTTACAGCCATGACTATATCAAGGCCCAAATGCACGCAGGAGTCCTGCGATTCAGCGACAAGCGCAGTCGCAGCAATGTCTGGGATGTTTTCGCCAGGATCGAGGACCAAAGTGGACTCGCCATACCGAACATTGTGATGTGCCGGACATGCAACAGCCTGGTGAAATACCACGGATGCACATCCAACATGGTGCGCCACAAGTGCTACAGGGCCAAGGTCTTCAGTCCGCAGGCGGAGGATCCCCTGCGTTGCGGCTACGAGGAAAGGCAGGATCAGGATCCCAACAAGAACTCGGAAGTTTCCAGCACGGAGGAGAGGGCCACCGATAAGGTCACCCAGGCGGTGGTGGAGTGGTGCGTGGCCAACTGTCGTCCCCTCAACATCGCCCAGGATACGGGACTTCGGAAACTGGTCTCCGTCCTACTGGACATCGGCTTGGAGTACGGCCGCAATATCTGCGTGAAGGACCTGCTGCCGGAGACTGGAGTCGTTGGCTGGAATATCGAGAACTGGTACGAGGAGAAACTAAAGCAGGCGCGCTCTGAAATGTCCTGCGCCCGGGCAAACGGTTATAGCATAGCCATTGCCGAGGAAAGAAACTCCAGTGTTGACAGCTTCTTCCTCTCCAGCACCGTCCACTACGTCCGGGAGGGACGCAAATGTACCCAATTGCTGGGCGTCTCCAATGTACCCAGAAACACATCCGCCACAGGTTAGTAAATCCAAAGGGAAAACACCAAGTGATAGCAGCTGACAACTTTATATGAGTACTCCTAGGAAGATTGAATTTATTTAGTTATTAATCAAAAGATCTATAACAAATAAAACTTAAACAACTATTCCTGATATGGCAAATAATACTGAAATTTAGTACTCAAATTAAAAAACCAATTATATTTAAAAACCATTTATTGTTTGAATTATTGTGATATTTATATTTATGTAATTTCAGAAACCTACATCCTCAAGTTAACTGAGGCCACGCTCAGGGATTTGGACTGCGATCTAGTCGATGATGACCCCATTTTCGTGTACGACGAGCAAGCCTGCGTAAAAACAGTATTCGAGGGGAGAAGGACCTTGTTCTGCATCAATTCCCTGCTCGACAGAGTGGTGGAGAAAGCCTTTAACGACGTTAGCGAGCTAAGAAACATGCTGAAGAAAGCCAAGGAGTTGGTTATTCTGGGGGTGCTTCCCCAGCCCATTTCGTCGGGTCTGGTCGAGACCTGCCACACATTGAAGTCACTAGAAGCCAACTGGGGCATTATTGCGAAAGATGATGAAAAGCTGATTGAGGGCTGTGAATTTTCCGGACTGGTGGCCATCAACAATCTGCTGGCGCATTTCGAGAAGTGCTGCCAGACGTTGGAGAGCGGTACGAGTCCGACACTGCACCTGGTCATACCCCACATCCACCGGCTGAGAAAGTACTGCGCCGGGGAATCCAGGCACTCGATGGAAGTGGCTCTGAAGAGGGTATTGATAGACAACATCGACTGGATGGTGCTGCCCTGCATCACCAAGTACCACATGATGGCCCATTTTCTGTTCCCGCCCACCAACAGGCTGCTGCAGTTCAGCCAGGAGGAGCGGGAGGAGACCATCGGGAACTGCCAGGAGTTCATGAAGCGTTACTGCTCCTCGCACCATCCGGAAAAGGTGGAAGAAGTCCTGATCAAAGGCGAGGGCGAGGTGGTCAGGGAACGCGATATTGACCTGGACGACGATCTGTTTTCGGACTTTGTCGCCATGGACAGCCAGGAGGATAAGATTGCCAAGGAAATCCGAGGGTATCAGGACATTCAGATGGCCTACAACGACGGATTTCACGTGCTCGAGTGGTGGCACTCCAATCGGGAGCACTTTCCGCTGCTCTTCAAGACAAGTAGCCAAATCCTAACCATTCCCGCCAGCAAGGCGCCCTCGACGTTGGTTCTCTCACAGGCCAGCAATCTGATCAAAGACCCTTCCTGCAGCATAGACGAGCTGCACCGGGTCATGTTCCTGAAAACGAACATGGGCGAGAGTTCAGAATATTTGACAGATGTTGTTTATTAGTTACATTTTCGTATATATACACAAATGGTTTGCTTTCACTTAAAGTCATGATGTGAAGCTTCTTGCACTCAAAGTGGTTTTGCGGTCCATATATTAACTCTAAAAACATTGTTTAGAACAAAGTCCGTATTAAAATAATGAACCAATTTTAAAGAAGGCTGATGTTTTGCATAAGACGTACATATATTTGACTACTTTCTGCGTTACGCATAATACATTTACGGATAAATAAAATCATGTTTTCTAAAAATTATTGTTTAAAGTTATTAAAATATTGTAACATTTTAAAACAGGGAATAAAGATCAAGGATTGCTGTTTTAAATTTGTTTTGTGCATATTTATTTTGTTAATATTCTTAAAATAGGTTTTCTTGTTTTGACAATAAAGTTTAAAAAAAATGGATTTTTAGGGAGTGGTATATAAAAACATCTTTTATTAAAATCGGCGCCTGTAGTTTCAGTGTGACCAGCAACTATTGGGCTCAAATGTTTCTCAAAGGAGCACTGTCCAACACAGGAGTTTTGTTTTTTCCGAAAAGCGGTCACGCTGAATACATGGGAAAGGAACTTTACAGAGCTGTTATATTCTACAGAGCCGCTGAAATTATTTCGTGCTTAGTAGCAGTGTTACCAACTTTTCATTGAAAAAAAAAAGCTGATTTCGACGGCACGGATGATGAAAAATCAGCTAAAAAATTTTACAAATAAACGTTTTTAATCATTTTGAAATCCTGATAAATATATTATATACTACTTCTGTTTGTATTTATATATTACATATATATACAATATAATTTATATCACATCCAATATCAACAGTTTTCTAATGGGATTTGGCATACGCATATCTTTAATATACCAATTTTGCTCAGGTCATGCCAATATCTTTTTATAAATTAAATTAAGCAGTTCTGAATAAGATGTGTAATTTATTTCTTTGATTTTACTACTTTAACCTGGAATATAAACGAAGGCAAGAATTAACTGGTTGTTTTATTATGCTTTTACTAAGAATAAAAAAAAATAAGCTTTATTAAAAAAAAAAGCTAAAATTACCGCTGCCCGCTGGTTCCGATTTTTTCAAGCAATTGGTCTTAAAAAAGGCTAGATTTGACGGGATATAAGCGGAACTGGTAACACTGCTCAGTAGTTATAAAAAATTGGTTCGTGTGCTCTCGACGCAATTAGAAATAATTGTGAAAATATCCGCAAATTGTTAAAAACGCCCATTCGGAAAGCGCACAATATTCGCGAAGACGACGCGCGAGCGGCACAAGTAAATGTCATTGAAAGCAGTGCAAAATTAATGAAAATTTCGCATTTTCGTTGTGTCTGTCCATGTTTAATGAGTGTGTGTGTGAATGTGTGTATGCGTGTGCGCCTTTTTAAATAAATTAATTATAAGGCAGAGTTACATATTTAAAAAGCTGAAAAAATGAAAAAGTGTAGTGGATACTCTCATATTTCTCTCGCTTTTAAACATTTACAAAAAGTGTTCCAATACACATACATACATGGATCAATACAATGAAAACCAAGAAGAACAAGAAATAGTTGTAAAAATGCTGCGGTGAACAATTAAACAAATCGGTGGGGAAAATCAGTGAAAATATATATGGGTTTATTGCAGTATTTTCGCCAGTATGTATAGGCGTATGTAAATATGAAATATGTAAAGGCAGCAACAGCAAGCAGAGCAGCATATACACACATGGAGAAATCGCCCAAAAAACTTTCTGCGCAAGCTGCAGAGAGCGAGCGAGAGAGACAGAGAGCAGGAGAGGTTGATTTCCTTGGTGGAAATGTATGAATGAATTTTCGCTTTTGCAAATTTTATGTTAATAAAAAAACAGTGCTCACAGCAAGTGGAAGCTCCTAAAAACTTGCATAAATAAAATAATTAGGTTTGTAATTAAAAGTCAGTGTTTAAAACGCATACAGACTCCCAATTTGAGCCTCTCCTTCTCTCAATTTTCATCTGTTACATCTTTTGTTGCTTGGAAAAATCCGTGTATGTACGTGTGTGTGCGAAGTTTTCCACTGTGTTTGTCTACACGCCCACATAAGTGGCCCTGTGTTTGTGTATTTGGAAAAGTAAAAGTGATTCTCGATTTATAAACGCACAACCAGAAATTAATTACTTACCTTTCCCCTTTAATTTAGTGAATGAATAAAGCCTCCTAACTCTCAATAAAAAAACCCCCAAAATTGTGCCAAAAAAGTGTACTGGAGATCGTCGAGATTTAGCTACAGCAAGTCGGATAACAACAACAACGTGGGATCGGATCGTCTAATAGTTTAATTGAGTTTCTGGTGTTGTTGTTGTCGTTTGATTCCTTTTTTTTCGTTGGAAACGTTTGTGCAGCAGCAGCTCTGAATGTCTTTATGCTTTAATCATGGTGTATTTCGCCACCAACAACAACAACACCGACACTATACGCTGCTATATTAGAATCTTTCTGATAACGAACCATGACAGAAGGACATGAAAGGTGAGTTTGGCCTATAACAGTTGTAGTATCTATTCTATTGCCGCAATTAACTAGCCCTACGGTCATTTGGGATATTAAATCCGTCAAACTTCTATAACGAGAAGAGTTACGAAGAATTGAATAGAAATATGTATTTCTCCAGTATTTATAGCTTTTGTGTCATATAATACAAAAAAACAAAAAAAAAATCTTTTTTTAAAGGGGTGCCACAGTTGCTCTCTATGTTAAAAATATGTGTTACAAATCTATATATCGGGGTGCCACACAAATGCCTTCGTGTTAAATTTGGAATTCGTTTTCAGAAACTCCTAAACTTTTTTTTTTAGTTTTGAAAATAATATAAAAAAAAGCATTAAACAATGACCGAAATTTGTTATTAAAACTCTTTATCATGCCCAGTAATTCAAGTGTTTTTCACATTATTTTTTTCTGAATCACTTCAGATTTCTATAAATCACCAAAACACATGAGTTTTTAAACAACATTTTTATCTTTCGTTTGTCGACCCATAATGACACATGTTTTGTAATCTAAAACAACTTCATGAATTTTTAAATTGCTAACATTCTTAAATTAATTATACGACGAATAATAACATAAAATAATGGCATTTAAATAGTCATTAAGTTTGCAAGATATTAAGCTATCGTCCCATATTTGTTTTAGTTTTTAATAATTATAAAAGCTTTAAATATTATAATTTTTGATTTAAAACGTACTGAAATTTTTTCATTCTAAAGTGAGTTTAGTTTGCCAGTGAAAAAGAAAGCTTTCTTGGTTGCCAGCTGGTTGCAATTAATCGGCGTGCATCTTTTAATTGCCCTCAATTGATTGCTGATTGAGTGAAAAACATGTTTCAATTCACGAAACGCTTTTTAATTGAGTTGGCTATCTGTTTTCATCAATGGACAACCGGAATGCAGAAAGGAACTGTGAGTCATTTGTCTGAGCGAATTTAAGTCTCCACATTGTCTGTCGACACTTTTAATGAATGAAATGGAACGCCCCCATGTGTGGTTTCTTTTTCCGTTCGCCTCTGGGTCCAATAATTGCCGTTGTTACGACTACTCACGTATTATTGCCTCGCGCCGCTGGCGCTCTTTAAATTCTATTCGAAAATGATGTCATTTTGTGTTTGTCCGTTTGTTGTTTCGCCCCGCGATTCGTTTTCTTTCAGTATTTACATCGGGGGAAGGCAAAAGCCTGCGCAACAAGAACAAAAAATCTAAAAAACCATAGCCCCCAAGGTTCCTATAGTTTCATTCATGTCTTGCTCTTTATTCCGTTCTCATAATGAATTGATACGCGAGACGCCTCCACACAAACTCGCTAAAGAGGGTGCTCTTTACTATTCTCATTCAAGAAACTTGGCAGTTTTAATTTATGTTTCTTGATTGAGAAACCTAACAAATGTAAAAAAAGAAATTCATATTTTTCAAATTTTTAATGTATAGTTCATAAAGAGATTGTTAAAGATTTAAAATTATCAAATTGGAAAAAGAAGATTATATAGATCCAAATCCACTGCATTAAAAAGTTTTCCGAAAACGACATGTTTTCCCGTCTTTAAAGTAAGCTAAGAGTCGGCTTTAAACTAAAAAAACGTTAAAAAATTTGCAATTTCAAATCCACTCTTGAGTCTTAAAGCTTTAGTGTAAATTGAATTTATTGAACAGTTTTCATTACAAAAAGTTTTTATTCTTGAGTAGTATTCTTGTCCTTTTGATCGTTATTCTTTAAACAATTGCCACAGCTAATCGCCAAAAAGTAGGCAATGATTTTTAGGGAGTAGGAATTTCATGGTACAATTATTTAAATTCGCCCAAAATCTATAATGGATATTTTGTAGTTTATTATGACCCACTAATTTGATTCAGCAACACCCTGTTTGCTGTGCCTCTTGTTGCAGCGGAAACAACATTCGATTTCAATTTAGCATTGTAAATTGATTGGCATGTGAATAATGTAACGGTAAGCGGGACATCGTGACCACGCGACAGGAAAGATGTGTGTGTTTGCATGCAAATATGTGGGAGTGGAGCGTGTATCGTTTATGAGTGCTGGCTATTAAAACTATTCGCCTATTTAAAGGGGTGCTGTGTATTGGAACTTTTTATGATGGTCGCCTCTCCGACTTTTTCGTGTGGGTGTCCACAAACACAAGCTCAGACACAGACGTATACGCACACGCAGACCGTTGTTCATTCATCTTTTTCAGCTGCAGCCTCTGCGTTTGTGTGTGGGTGGGTGTACGAGTGTGTGTGTGGGTGGGAGTATCCAAGTCATTCAGTTGGCAACAATGTTTTGAATGCGAGAAACCACCAAAGCTATGTCCCAAAGTTGGTAATGAATGAATGTTGGTTAGAAAATATTCAATTGGTTAGTTGTTTGGTTATAATTTCGTCCCAGATCATTTATGGACGACAACTCCTACACATACATAGAAAAAGATAACTGGAGCTCTCTCTAACGGTATCTTTCCCACGCATGCGCCGTAACTGGAAATGAGAGCTTCCAAATATTGATAGACTTTTAGTTTCGGCTTGGGGCAGGCTCTTCTAGCTTTCCACATATATGTATGTATAAATGTATGTATGTTTTATGTTTGGCGGAGTTGGTAGTATGTCTATATATACATCTCTATTTTATTTCGACTACACCCTGCCCTTTCGAATTGGGGTGGCAACTCTAAATTGAATTGGAGTGAACCGTTAGCGCCTCTCATTCTCAATGAAAACCCGTTATGCGTTATGCTCTGACCCTGAATAGTTCCGTTTGGTTCCTTTCATACTTGTATTTCATTCACACTGCCTCGGAAATCCTTGACTAGCTGACGTAGCTGAATGAAAATCATAGGAAGACCAGTCCTTGACATGTCCTCAGTTTCAGAGGCCCGGTGACGTCGCGACAAAAATTCATTCTGTAAAACCCAGCAAAACTAGGACAAGCATGTGTATAGGTATGCGACACGCACCCTGGTACACTCACGCTCACATCCACCGCTCACAAAACTCACATTCACTTGGCACAGTGGAGTTTCAACTCCCTTTTCGGAGCTTTTTTCATTCAGTAACTTCCCTACATTTGCCCGGGAACTCCGTCTTTATGCAAGACTTGTGCGCAGGTCGTCAAAAACTCCATTTCATGTCCCTCATTCATAAGGTGATGGAACCCCCGAACTGAAGTTGGCGGCCCCTTTTCAAGAATGAAGTCCCCTGCCGGATGTTACTTATCCTTTGGCACCCTTAAATACCACTTGATTGTGCTCTAAAAATTTTATGAGAGACACTCTGATTTTTGTAAATTTCAATCTTAACCCTTTAGAGGGTTAGTTGACATTTTTTCTCAGTGCCCACCCTAAGCTTATATTTTTAAACCGAAGGACTTGCTGTTATTTTTAGTTGTCATTGGTTTTTCACTTTCGCTCGGATGAATCAGTCGCTCCTGGTGGCAGGTGGCAACTGGCATCCTTGGTATGGCTTCCTTGGCGTGCCCAAAAATTGAATTAGCCAAATTAGCGGCACTTGCAGGTTATCCTGTCGAAGATATAGAGGCAACCTTGTTACATTCATGGCTGACATTCGTTAAAAACCATTGGTAGTTCCAGCATGGCTACGGTTTCATATACCAAACTAAGCGTCAAACGCAGGACAAGCAGGTGGATTTTAATTTTAGTTTACGCTTTAAGTGTTAATTGTGATTTTAGTTAAGTTTTAAGACCTTCCAGGAAATTCTATTTAGAATTAATGACAAAGTTTTTAAATATGAAATCTAAAGAACAAAAGAAAAGTGTTGTCTAAATCGGATTAAAGACATAACTATGTTTACCCATTTGTCTAAGAGCTAGTCTTATATGTAAGATTCATTTAAATTGTTATACTAATAATATATATTTTTTTCTGCTTACTTTTGTTTCACAGCGACTTCTTAGTAACAGTACGCGCACAGGTAATGACCAGAGACGAGAGCACCGAGGGCTGGCTACCGCTGGCCGGGGGTGGCCTGGCCAACGTTTCGATCCGGAAGCGGGCTAGGCTATCCCCACTGGCATCGGGTCATGACTACATCATCTACGGGCAGAGGATATCCGATCAGAGCGTGAGTGGATCCTAAACGAACCTATAGAGATGAGATAATAACATTCGATTAACCCAACGGCAGGTCATCTTGAGCTGTGTGATCAATAGAGATCTGAAGTATTACAAAGTAATGCCCACATTTCATCATTGGCGTGCAGGGAAGCAGCGGAACGGACTCACATTTCAAACGGCCGCCGATGCGCGGGCCTTTGACAAGGGCGTCCTGCGCGCCTACAACGAGCTGATCGATGGTAAACTCCTGTCCTGTCCGGATCCACCTACTCTAGATGCATGACCGGCTTGCAAATTCCATCTCTCTGCTTTCTATCAGCCCGCCTTAGTTGCCTTTGCCTTTTGACTCCTGCTTTCCTTCTCATGCCAAAACAATTACTTGCCTTTCTTTCTTCCGATTCTGCTGATTCATCCGATTCTTCCCAGCCTCTGCCTTAGAATTGCTTTCGTTTACTAATATATATAACTTTTTTGTATGTCTTATGCTCTACTTTGCCACAATACCAAACGAAAACAATCAAACCAATTATCAAAATCACCACACACAATTACATTGGATTATTGCAAATTTGTTTCAAAAATCAACAAATCAACCAAACATTTAAATATATCATTTCAAACGAATTGGTAAGTGTTGAGGTCGAACCTTAAATTAGTTGATTTATGTGTGCTGTTTGCTTTGAAGGAACATTGTGCCAAATCACTTCAAAATTCCCAGCACCACATATATGAGAAATATTATAGACTAGTCCACACCTATAGGTCACTACTTTTTGAAAGAGTTCTTTTCAATTTCCTTGCTTACACGTAGATGTATTCTGATTTTACGCTCTCTAAACTCTACCACTTTTTCTCTGTAAAACCTAAATTGTTCTCTGCTTTGCGCCTTTTAAAATACTGTGTTCTCTTTGCTTGAATATATTACTATTTTTCAATGCACTAAAGTGTCTTTTCTTTGCCCATTCAGGACTGGCCAAATCGAATCCAACGATAATTTGCCCGCCGCTGACCAAATATGATTCGGTTGGCGAAGATGATGTATTCATGACCCTGGACTTACCTGTGGAGAGCGAGAGTTTACAAAAGATCCATTCAAGCCCCGAGGGCAGCGAGAAAAGTCACAGTACGCATTGCTAAATGGGGCTAAAAATAATAAAAAACAAGAACATCTCTAATCTATTGCTATTTTGCAGAGAGCGTCAGCAACAATTCCGACTCGGAGAAGCTGCCCCCGCCGCCAATTCACTACATATCCACGGACAAAACATCGGCCACCACATCGCCGCCAGACGCACCGCCCGCATCTGCAGCTCCATCGCCGGCGACTGCCGGCCAGATAGCGGCCAGTGAGAACTACTCGTACGTGACGCTGACGGCGGTGCACCACGACTACAACTATCCAGTGGTGGACCAGCCGGTGGGGGCGCAGGTGCTCAATGCTCGCCGGGAATCGATCAGTGCGCTGAAGAAACGCAACGCTCTGGAGGCGGCGCAGGCCATGGCAGCAGCCCACCAAACGGTGGGTTGCGGTACAGGACGAGACGGAGGATCGGGAAAGCCGCTGCACAAGCCAAACGTATCGGACATACTGAAGAAGGAGACCCGCTCGCGTTGCCGGTACTGCCATGAGCTTTACAGCGAGGACTTCAATCGACGGGGCGCCTGCGAATATGCCCCGGATCCCTTTCGCAGCGGCTACGAGTGCATCTCGGGGATGGGCTGCGCCCGCTGCATGATCTACCATTGCATGAGCGATGCCGAGGGTGAGACGGCCCAGCATCCGTGCGACTGCAGTGCCAGCGAGGCCGGTTGCAGCAAACGCTGGCTGGGCCTGGCGCTCCTCTCGCTGTTCGTGCCCTGCCTGTGGTGCTATCCGCCGCTTCGCGCCTGCCACCTGGCCGGCATCCATTGCGGTCTTTGCGGCGGGCAGCACAAGCCGCATGTCTGACATTTGGAGGCCCGCTTGCAAGGACAGCACGACGATGACCCCAGGCCCAGAAGCGAATTCCATTACCACCAATCCGAACAGAGCATGAGCAGCGCCAAGCGTCCGTGGGGCAACAACAAGAGACAGTCGCAGCCATCGCACACCCAGTCGCAGCGACACTTTTACAACTGGGAGCTGTCGCACAGCTTGGGAGCACCACAGCAGCAGATGCCGCCGTATTTAATGCAGCCGACTGACCGAAAGGCGCCTCAGAACGATTACGGACGCCTGCTGTTCTAATCTCTGTCCAGGGTGACAGGGTTATAGTCCCATTTTCGCAAACTTATTACTCAGCTGCATTGAGTCTTTCACCAGAAGCAAAGAAATGTCTAAAAGAGCAAAGGGCAAAGAAATGCCTTTTCCAATGAATTACAGGAAAATAAGCAGAATACTTTAAATTCTGTACAAATCCCATTTTGTGAAAATGAAAAGCTCAGCTTGTAAAACTCAGGTGAAACAAAAAACAAAATTGTAATTGTAAAATCAATTCAGCTGAAAAATTAGTGTGCGAAAATAGGACTTTAGTTCGCTTTTAGTATCATTTCGGTATACTCCATTTGAATTGCCATAATTTATTGTATATACAAAGAGCAGGAAAGGATTACGTATCTAATTTTAATATACTTTCTTAATTGTAACTTATGTTTAGTGCTCTCGCTTAATTATAGTTTTGTAAAAACGGGCTATTTGTTTTTATTTGTAACTGAATTACTTTTTTAAAAAATCAAATATTATACAATGTTTGTTTAAGTTTAAGTTGTTTAGGGTTTTTTGCTATTTACACTTGCTTGTTTACAATTCAAAATTGGAGAACAGTATTAAAAGGCCGTGGCAAAGGCGAAAAGAGAACTAAATATATTTAAATGCGATTTTCTCAGCGCGATTCCAATTTGTTAATCAATGTCACGCGCTCAAAACTCACAAACAAACGGCAACCTGATGCGCAAATGAATAAAAAGAAAACGGAATACATGCAACTAGGAAAAAGGAGCAGTTGACGACTCAGCTGTTAAACGATTCTTCTCTGAACCTGAACAAGAATTACAAATTGTTTTCGACTCCCCCAGCAAAAGACTCGGCGGCAATGCTCAAATTTTGTGAGTTCGCTATGCTCAGCAATTGTTACTTAATCGAGCTTTAATTGAAAACTACTTAGCTGTTTTAGTTGCCTTTAAAAAGGATGTTTTTGTCTCTTCTTAGGGCTCATGAAGATTCAAAATATTCCTTTTGACCAGAACTCAAAAATTATGATTTCCAAAACCTATGTTTAGCCGTAGAGAGAAAACCCAACTAGATTTAGAGAGTCAATGGACAAACAAATACCGCAGCATTGCGCGTTTTGAGCTCTTTTGCAACTAAATAATTCTAGAATGCGAAGCAATTTGTAATTTTGAATAAAATGCTAAACACTTTGAGTCGTTTATAAAATGGCTCTAAGAAAAGGCATTTGAGCAAAGGGGTAAAAACATAAAAACAATTTAAGTGTTTTCAAAAAATCAACAAACTCATATATGCAGCTATATATATATATAAAAATAATAAAAAACATTAATTTATTTCTTACTATATAATTATTGTTGTACTAAGTCAGTGAGAAAAACCATGAAAGAAAACTTCACACGAAAACTAAAACAAAATGCATATTTATTAAAAATAAGCAAAGGTTGTGCAAAAAAACACATTAAAAAGCAACATTATTATTGTAAAAATTTACTTAATACGGCAATTGTTATTAAATGTGCAAAATTCAGTAAAAACATTGATACAAACCTCAGAAAATACAAGCCAAGTTATGAAAACGGACATCAATGGATTGAAGAATTTTGAAAAAAAATAAGGAAAGATGAACCGAGAACCGATCAAACGGAAACAAAACACTCAACAACAAGAAGTACAAAATGTTAAATATGTATCTATAATTTACAAATACGTTTTTATATAATTTAATGTAAACGCTTACTCAACGGAAAATAGCTAACTATTATTACAATCGTCCTCTCACACAAGAACACAATAAAACAAGCTCAAAAGCAGAATTATTACTTTAGCTAAAATAACATTCACCTTTTGCAAATTTCCTTCCCCTTATAATTTCACCATCGAAATAAACAAACAAATGGTTAAAATAGCCGCATATACTCATATTAAATTGAAAAGAAATGTGTCATTACAGAAATGGATAATGCAAATAGTAATATAAATGATATATTTATTCATATAAATGTATTTGAAAGTGTGAACAAAAAACAAAAAGAATACCAACAATAAAACACAATTTAATAAACAATGTGAAAGGCTTGAGTGTGTATTGATTATAATATCTCTTATATATTTATGTAGATAGGCAGCAGGCTTGTAAAATATATTACAAAACAAGGAAACACTACTGAAATGGACGAGCTGATGAGACAAAAGTCCACTTTTGCTGACCAGAAAACACACACGCAGGAACTCACCTGCAGTGTGCTGTTTACCAAGTACGTTTCACATTTGAATGTTAATTACTTAATTGTATACAGTTCTTCCTATTTAGTCCAAAGTTTAATCCAACAGAACCCGCCTCTTGTGATGAACTGAACTCTGTCACGCGCTTGGTTTCCAAAACCGAGGATTTGGATTTGGAGCGCGTCTTTAAACGATTTTCAAAAGATGGTTTCGAAGTGACGGAGAGTTCGAATCGCTCTCTCTTCGAATTCGGTCACAACTTCGAGGATGTGGAGGGCTGGCTAACGATGGAGCAGCCCTCCAAGGATCAACTGCCCTCGGTGCTTCGCTATATGATTGAGCATCATCTCAAGACCACCGTGCAGATAGATATTAACAAGATGTACTTTAACTGTCACTTCATTGTACTCCAGGTTTATTCTCGCTACTTCAGTGAGCTCAAGACAATTCCCCTCCTCGTCACTCTTCCCGAGGATCGGGTCTCTCAAAAGGCCTTTATGCTCATCTACAAATGGATGCTAAGCGATGATCCCTTCTTGGAGCGCCGCTATATAGTTGAGATTTTTGTGGCCGCCACCTATTTAAGGATCGATGAACTGCTGTCACATTGCTGGAAGTATTTCGATGACACACAGTGCTATAGCGAGGATACTGCTTGCATCCTGTATGTGGAGACCCGATACCATCCTGCCTTGGATGTGGTGCGCACTTTGATGCTCACCAGGATCCAGAAGTTCCTTCTCACCTTTGTGGCCACTAGGGATTTTCTTGACCTGCCGCTCACTCACTTGATTTTCCTCCTCAGTTCCAGTAGCATCTGTGTGAATACGGAGGTTGAGGTTTGTAGTCTGGAATCCTTAATTTTTAAATTCCATTATCTGCTATTATATAGTTTTATTTCCCCCATTAGGTACTCTTTATGGCAGTGCGGTGGTTGGGTCACGACTGGAGCAAGAGAAGTGCGCATGCGCAGCGTTTGGCTTCGTGTATTCGCTTCCACCTGATGCCTCTGTGGTACTTGCTCTACGTGCGTCGCGAGGAGGATCACCAAGTGGTGAAGGAGCTGCTATCCCTTGAGGAAGTGGATCGCCAGATCAACGAAGCCATTTCGAACATCACGTCGCTAATGTACGAGGAAAAACTGGCGGAAGGCGATGGCTCACCGCTCGAGGGTTATCCTAATGAGAAAACACCGCAGCGTGTGTGGATTTGCGATGGGTTATGCAGCTATAATCACTGGGTAGGCTGCCCTAATAGCCGGGAAATTCGATACAATAGCTTTGAGACGTACCTTGCCGAATTGCAACAGAGCTCCTTAGATCATTGGTCCAAAGTCGAATTGCTGGACCTTAACAGGAAGACTGATTGCTGTAACTTAAAGAAGAAAGCATTGGATGATGCAATACTAGTTGCGAGTGACAACACATGTTAAATGCAACAAATTACAAAATTAAACGACTTTTTAAAATTTTAAATTACGCTGGTTCGAGTCTATGCTATAATTCCTTATCCTAGTTTGACACCTGTATTTGATTTGTGGTATATTATAAGCCATCTACACTACCGTTTTAAAGCATTAGGGTGGACGCAATACAATAATCCAAAATGGTTATGCACTGTCATACAGTTTGTATTGTACGTTATGAAAACTGCTTGTATTGTTTTGATTTTTTATTAAAAATTACAATTTAAGAAGTTAGAATTCTTCTAAGAGAATATTTGAAATCTTGCGATGTAGTGTGAACACTTGTCTTTTTTGGGGCGTTGTGGTATTCTAGGCAGAAAAAGCGGCATGCACACTATTTTTGCCTTGTTTTGGAAAATAACTTGTTAAAATAGTGCAAAAAAATGGAAAAACTAGAGGCCCTAAAAATATCCTCGATGCGTCCACGGAGCAACATCCTGGACAGGCCGCTCTCCAAAGGAAAAACGGAGGTTTCCCAAAGCATCGTGGCGCTGCTCTTCAGCGAAATCGTTCAGTACTCGCAGAGTCGAGTGTTTACAGTGCCAGAGCTCCAAACAAGGTGGGTTCCAAAGGAATGTTTACTTGAGTAATTTGATAACGCAAACTTGTTTTCAGGCTCCATGACTTGGGTCAAGATGTGGGAACCCGGATTATCGACCTATATTTCGTAAGGGAGCGGAGCTCCAAACGGGAAACCAAATTAACGCAAATGCTGCTCTTTGTAAAGACCACTGTGTGGAAAAATCTTTTCGGCAAAGAGGCGGAAAAGCTGGAGCATGCCAACGATGATGAGCGAACATACTATATCATAGAAAAGGACCCCTTTGTTAATACTTTCATTAGCGTGCCCAAGGATAAGGGCTCCCTAAACTGCGCCAATTTCACGGCTGGCATTGTGGAGGCTGTTCTTACGAATTGTGGATTTGTAGGTTTATAATGTGACCTGATAATTGTGCGCACTAAATAGTGTTTTATTTTTGTAGCCCTGCAAGGTCACCGCCCACTGGCACAAAGGCACCACCTACATGGTCAAGTTCGAGGACTTTGTCATCGCTCGCGACAAGCAGATGGAGGAGAAATAAATTACGTTTAGTTGATAATAGAGCTTCTTTTCGGTCTTGTTTTAATTCCACTACAAATCGAAGATCAATTGCTGAATGTATGGCTTAAATGAACTTGAACTGGCGATCCTTGTAGGCCACCTGGCCAGTCCGGTACTTCTCCTCGCGTCCATCGCGTTCCGCTTTCAGGGCCCAGGCGTAAAGGGCAATCGGCAGGACTACGGCAAACAGGCCAGTGCGGAAGGACTTGCCGGTGGGCTTGAAATGCTCGTAGTTGGAAACGCGCATCGCCTGGAAGCGGGCTAATCCCGCATCAAACTGCAAAGCACAGGGTATTAATCGCATTTATCCCATCGTGATGACATAACCAAGCCAAGGATTGGTGTTCCTACTTACCACGGTGCCGCCCTCGCCGGTGGCATGGCGATAGGGATTGGAGCTCTGCTTCAGGAACTCTCCGCGGAGCTTCAAAGTGTGCTCGTGCTTGCGCTTGATGAACTCCTGCTCCTCCGCTGACAGAACCATTTTTTATTTTTGTGTTGCAAACCAAATTTTTAGCAACAGCTGACAGTAATGTGAACGGGTCGGGAAAGTTAAAAAATACCACACATCTGAAAATATACTAGTGTTACTTTCGGAATTTGGTATATCTATCATATTACAAAGATTTCACTTTAAAAAATATAAGTAAACTTCATCTTTTAATTTTAAATTCGTTTATAACATTTTTATTATTCTTCGCATAAATAAATTAAAAAATACAATAATACAATATTTATTATATGCTCTCTTATATTAAGTTAAAAAAAGTTCAAAAGTTCTCTTAAATTAAGTTAAAATATAACTGTAGGTTCAATATATAATTCAGTTTTTTTAATATTATATAAGTCAAGCTTCAAATGGAATTTGAAAACTTAAAAAAAAGCTTGTAATCTCTAGTTTTGGTTCCTCATCGCTAGTTCCTTTTCGATAAAAGGCGATATATCGATAAATGCTTTTACGATGAAATAGTTCTGTTTAAATCCTTTCCTTTTAGGCCCTCGCTCGAAGCAGAACGTCCAACGTTTTTGACCCTTTTTCGTTCTGCTTAAATGTAAGTAATATATTTTTTTTTGTATACATGAAGATTTTTTTGCCCATAAAGTCTGCTGCTTCGTTGCAGCGAGCGCTTTCCACCCCCGCCACCGTTAAATTCTCTCTCTCGCTTGCTCTCACTGCGCATGTCCTGCAAAGTGTGATGCGCAGATCTCGTGTCCACATCCTAATTCCTCGAATCGCCGTAGTCTCATCCCTAGCTGGAATTTTGGCAGAAAGGAGAGGCTCACTTTTCGTAACTTAGGTGGTAATTACCAGAACTGAGTTTTTCCTTTTGGCTAAGGTCGTAAAAACCTCCGAACGCAGGGGTTACTAATCAATAACTCCCCCTTGGCGCATGTCATTTAAGGACGAGAGAGAGCGAGAGAGCTGTTTTGAGCCAACGCGCATGCTACTCCTTAGTTGGGTGGTAAATGCACTTGGCTTAGCCCCGATTTTCCCAGGCGGTGGGGGGAAAAGCCGATGTTTAGGGGTGGTTTTCCGGTTTTCGGTTGCCCGCGGTTGCGCCGTCTGCCTGGCTCATTTTTCACTCGCCCGCAGACGGAGGCAGTGGCTCCCGGATTATTAATATTCTGGGCCCATATTGATTTTCACCTGCCCGACCGACTTACAGATTGAGTGCAGCATGAGCCTGAAGTCCAGTGCAAGGATCAAGAAACGCCGCTCGGAGGCAGCGGCTGCCACCTATCCGGTGCCATCTTCAGCTCAGTCCGGGAACGGCAGCTCGTCCTCGACGCCGAGTCCGGCCATTGCCACAGCAAATCCAGCTAATGCCACCCAAAATCCCTGCCAGAACCCTTCCAAGAAGCATAGTTTCGTGGGACGCAATCCCAATTTTGACACCGATGAGACCAAGCTGCTCATCCAATTGTGGGGCGATCCTAAGTTGCAAAGGACCCTCATCACCACGCACAAGAAGCACGCGGTGATCTGTCAGCTGGCCGCCAAGATGCAGGAGTACGGCTACCATCGTTCGCCGGAGGAGATAACCACACGGATCAAGAACCTCAAGTGCTTCTATAACCGCTTGAAGAAGGACAAGGAGTGCGGCGGCTTGTCCACCGATTCGGAGCCCAGTTGGAAGCACTTTGCCGAGATGGACGCCATCATGACCAGACCCATCTTCAGTGTGCGGCCCAACGAGGTGCCTGCTCCTTCGCTCAAATACCAACTGGAGCAGGCTCTGGAGGAGCATGCCGAGCGTCGCAAACTTCGGCTAGAGAACGGCGAAGAGCTGTCCGAGAGTGACAACGAGGAGGACGACATGCTGCTCTCCGCTTTGGTGACCAAAAACAAGGAGACCGTGAACAGAAAGGAACTGGAAGCCGGTTGTCTGGAATCCGACCTGGACATGAACGAGGAGTCCTTTCTGAAGCGTCGCAAACTGTCCGCCGAAGTGGATATTGACATTGGCGAGGCTCTGACTTCACCGTGCGTCAAGAGCGAGCCTGTCCAGGAGGTGGAAGCTGCTCCAGTGGCTCCGCCAGTTGAGCCCGAACCCGAGGAAGACGATGACTGCATGCTCCTGCCGCAGCCCAAGGAAGAACCAATCGATGTGGACGCTTCAGATGATTCGCCAAACGAGAAATCCCCCAATTCCAGCTCGTCATCGACTCTGGTTGATATGTTGCAGCGCAACAAGCCGGCCAATCTGCTCCCCTTCACTGGGGCAAATGTCATCATCCCGGCCAGCATTACCACCACCACGGCTGGCATTAGCTCAACCACCCAGAGCTCGGCCAACACTCCGAATAAACTGCAGGGGGGCAAGATCTCGCTGGTGCCCACAAATTTCCTAATGCAATCCAAGCTGCCGGCTGCCGCGGGACCAAGTCCCATGTCAAACGCCAAGGGATCTGCTCCCCAGCTGCAGCTGCTGCAGAGTGCCATCAATCAGGGCGCTCGGCTGATGATTAGCGGATCGGCTGCAGCACCGGCACAGCCAAGCAATGCCGGTTTGGTGGCCACCGCCCCCGGAGGAGTCAAGTTTGTGTTGGTCAATGCGGAGCAGGCCAAGGCGGCGGCAGCTGCTGCCGCTGTGGGAAAGTCCACGGCTTCCCTTCCTTTGGCCACTGCCCAGGCTCAGGTGCAGGCTGCAGTGCAACAGCAGCAGCAGAAACTACAACAGAGTATGCAACAGGAGCAGCATCTGCAACACCAGCAGCAGATCCAGCTGGAGAAGGAAGAGACCCGCAGGGTTCAAGAGAAAGCTCGCGAAGATCTGCAATCGAAGCGCTACATGACAAGTGGGTACCAAGTTACTTCTATGTATCTCCCATTGTACTAATATTAGCTATATTTCCTAGCAGCAATGAGAGTGCTTTTGCGCCAGCTGCTCAATTCCCAAAACGAGGCCAACGAAATCCAGCACAATCGTCTGTCCCTGGAACGCGAGCGTTTGGACTGGGAAAAGTCCATGGGTGATCGCCTGCTCAACTTGTTGCCTAGTCTCGTGCAGCCGGCTGCATCCGGGTCGCCATGCTCCACTGCCCAGCGCCTGCAGCCGCCCAAATTGCTGTTCACGACCGCCCTGCCGATGGGCAATGGCACCGTCACCATGCCGCACATCCTAACATCCAATTCGCTGCCCAAGGTCATACCCAGCACAAGCTGCAACAGTAGCGTAGCGGTGGCAGGATCTGGGATTGGAGGATTGGTTGCCAGTGTGGCCGCCGCACTTGTGGACAATGACGTCCAATTGGTAACGCCCAAGCAGGAGAAGGAGGCCTGAACCGGAGGTGAAGTGGTCGTGTTAAGTGATTGATATTAGAAGCATCTTTCAGTGATCTCAAAGAAATGATATTCTAGTCGTAACTTTAGTATACTCTAAAATGGCTCTTCTAATAATAACATTAATAAACATTGAACTAGACTCGCATTTTAAAATGTATTTGGATCACGGATTGATCTCGAATTATTAGTATGCTGTTTAAAAATCTAAACAATTGTTAAATCAATTACCCTTTGGAAAAATCAGAACATGAAATAAGTTCGAGATATCTTTTAAACATGATAATCCAGTTTAATAAAACATTCAGGCTTAAACAAATTATATAACTATCTATCTTTAAAATTCTATTTCGACTATTTTACTATACATATAAAATTGATGTAGGTCAATTTAGTTTTCATTCTAAGGAGTTAGATTACTTTAGATAGCTGTTATCATTGTGATAAAGTACACAAAGTAAACAGTAAAGTAGGTGATCATAAAACAGTCGGTTAGATCTTTAAAAAAATAGAATCATAATCTAATATACATCTTAAGTAATGAGTGAACCACAAAGCAACTCCATAGAATTTCTAGTGTATGTTGAGCCTCTCCATATCCCGGATTTCCATGATGTCCGTCTTGAGACGCTGCTTCACGATCTCCCGCCAAATGGCCTCCCGATCCCTGTTGTCCGTAACTCCCATTCGCTGCAGCGATGAGTCCGTGATGCGGAGTAAGGCCCTTCCGGTTATATCGTGCTGAAAAAGTGCAAACCAAAGCAGATCAGTAGGCAGTTCTCAGGATGTCTAAATTGTAGCCAAAAGAACTTGGATTTGTTGTTTTTATGTGTTTGGGGTACGGAGATGTCGAAACTACTCCAAGAAAGAGTCAACGTGGAAAAGCGGTAAGTAAAAGGTATAAAGAAGTCATCAGGAGCCAGAACCTCAACTCACCTGGGCGAAGAGCTGTTCGTATTGGGTGTATTCGCCACAGTGGCGTCGATACCACTTCAGCACATCGCTCACTGTCCACTGGTAAACCGCCTTGGGTCGCGTAGTCTTCGTCCGGGTTTTATTTTGCGTAGAATTGCTTGTTTCTTCTCCCATTTTGGGTAAACAAATCAGAAAGGTTGGAATTGGCAAATTGCAACAAAACAAATAGAGACGCCAATAGGTCGATAACCATTAGGTGTGGGCAAACAAATGTATCGATTTGTAGTTTTAAAGTAGTGATTTTTATGAGTAGATTTTCAAGCTGATTGAAGTAAGTCAAACTTTTCAATAAGAAAATTATAAATTGGTAAAATTTTGTAACTATCATTTTTTAATCGTGTTTTCCCGACTAATCACGAGTCACCGCGTGCGATATATCGCGTGCGTGCGCCAGTTCGTCTGTCATCGCCTATCGATGCCCGCTGTGGCACACCTATCGAAATCGCACCAGCGCTAATCGTGACTGGCGCTTAATAACAACGACCAAAAGGTGAAAAAGCAGCATAAAACACGTAAATACGCAATAAATACGTTCCGGTCCCGATTGAAAACAAAGAAAAAACTGGCGCACTGCTAGTAGCTAAGTTGAGACACGTTTAGTTGATCGATTGATTGTAAACTCGTCTGTTGACCGCCCCCACATCTCGTCCGATCCCAAAATTCAAGTCGCAAGATGGCCGGAGCTACACTTTTCGAGCGTGCCCAGGCATTGTCCAGCGTGAATCGCGAGGAGCAGGACAGTTCGCTGCTAAACAAGCTGGTCCGCGACCAGGAGGGCGCCGAGAACGATGAGGAGCGCATCCGGATCAAGGAGCAAGGAATTCTGCAGCAGGGAGAGCTCTACAAGCAGGAGGGCAAGGCCAAGGAGCTGGCCGATCTCATCAAGGTGACGCGTCCGTTCCTTAGCTCGATCAGCAAGGCCAAGGCAGCGAAGCTGGTGCGTTCGTTGGTGGACATGTTCCTGGACATGGACGCGGGCACAGGCATCGAGGTGAGTGCTCCATTGACTCTCTTCTACAACAATTGTTAGTAAACCCCTGGTATTCTCCATAGGTTCAACTGTGTAAAGACTGCATTGAGTGGGCCAAACAGGAGAAGCGCACCTTCCTTCGCCAATCGCTGGAGGCTCGTCTGATTGCCTTATATTTCGATACAGCTCTGTATACGGAGGCACTTGCCCTCGGCGCCCAGCTGCTAAAGGAGCTTAAGAAGCTGGACGACAAGAATCTGCTGGTGGAGGTTCAGCTGCTGGAGAGCAAAACCTACCACGCACTGAGCAACCTGCCCAAGGCCAGGGCCGCCCTCACATCGGCCCGCACCACGGCCAATGCCATCTACTGCCCGCCAAAGGTCCAGGGCGCCTTGGATCTGCAGTCGGGCATCCTGCATGCGGCCGATGAGCGCGACTTCAAGACCGCCTTCTCCTACTTCTACGAGGCATTCGAGGGATTCGACAGCGTGGACAGCGTGAAGGCTCTGACCTCGCTGAAGTACATGTTGCTGTGCAAGATCATGCTGGGACAGTCCGATGACGTCAACCAGATCGTCAGTGGAAAGCTGGTAAGTTTGGTTTCCTCATAACTATTTTTGGAAACGCTCTTTGGAACCTTTTTATTAAACAAAACCTTCCTTGGCAAAAACTTATTAGTTTATTTGAACTTTTTCTTTAATTCGTTTAAAGTACAAAACCTCTTTTTCTTATTCCACTGTGCATTTTTGCATAATGTGACTGCACAATATGCAAATAAATTAATTTTTAATTCTTCAGCTAGAAGAATGCGTATTGAAATCTACTTACTACGTATATAATCTGAAAAGCTTAAATTTAAAGCTGACTTTGGCGTAAAAAAGTTATGAACTTATAAATTGAACAACAATTTTAATCCAACAGGCCATTACATACTCGGGTCGTGATGTGGATGCTATGAAATCGGTGGCGGAGGCCTCACACAAACGATCCCTAGCCGACTTCCAATCTGCACTCAAGGAGTACAAAAAGGAACTGGCCGAGGATGTGATTGTGCAGGCGCATTTGGGCACGTTATACGACACCATGTTGGAGCAGAACTTGTGCCGCATCATTGAACCCTACTCCCGTGTTCAGGTAAGGCGAATAACACCGAACATATGTATGTACTCTAGCCTATTAATATTCTTTGCTTGCAATTATCAGGTTGCCCATGTGGCGGAGAGCATTCAGTTGCCCATGCCGCAGGTGGAAAAGAAGCTGTCCCAAATGATCCTGGACAAGAAGTTCAGCGGTATTCTGGATCAGGGAGAGGGAGTCCTTATTGTTTTCGAGGAGACGCCCGTGGACAAAACCTATGAACGCGTGCTGGAAACCATCCAGAGTATGGGAAAGGTAGTGGACACACTGTACCAGAAGGCCAAGAAGCTGTCGTAAGCGGTGCGCTGGAGGCACTATTAAATTCACACATGATATCAGCATACTTAGCAGACTTTTCATAGTTTCCTTTTGTATTTTTCAACAACTTCCAAGCCTTGTTTGACCAAACAACTTTTATGTTTCTGCTAAAACAAAATTAACCGATATTGGTAAAAATAGCAACAGGAGCAGCAACAACAGCCACAACAGCCACAAAAAAAAAAAAAATGTAAAACAAAATCCATTAAACTAACATAAGCAAAATTCTTAATCATTGAGTGGGATCGAATTGTTTACGCAAGTGTGGTATACTAAGCAAAAATATTCAAATAAATACAAAATAAAATGAAAAAACATAAAACCGTAAACAGCAAAAATGTCCAGATGCACTTTTAATCCTGGATTGTTAAGTATAATCATTCAACGGGTAAAATGAAAAATATATAAAGCAGATAGTTTAATAATCTGTTTAATTCTCATTTTAATTTTAATAAATTAGATTTTCTTAAATTGACAGTATTTTTCAACCAAAGTGATGGGAGAGTCCCAGGCCAGCTCCAAAGTTGGTCCTCTGGTTGGCAAACGGTCCACTCGTCCACTTGTTGGCCGATCCCGTGAGATCCAAGCGGGTGGCGCGATCCGCCGATGACCAAAGGTTAGCACGTCCCTCTGCGCCAAGTTGCTGGCCAATTCCGGGGAAATTGCTGTGGGTCAAGGAAGCACCGTGTCCATTGATATGTGAGTAATCCAGACCAGCTCCATTGCGCTGGAATTCGAAACCATTGGCCAGTTTGTTCTGCGAGGCGAACACCTTGGCATCCAGATTGTGTCGGCCGTTGTTAAAGAGATTGGCATGGGCCTCCTGCTGGAAGACGTCCTTCACTCCGGGCGTGTGCGTTCTGGTCAAAGAGGCACCATGGCCAGCACTGTGATGAAATTAGAGATTAAGTAAGGGCTCGAGATAATCCGCATCATATTTTTGGAACTTACTTATTATAGGCCAGGGTTCCACCACTGGTGACAGGACCGCCTTGAGTGTTTCCTGCCGCGAAGACCTGACCCACCAGATTGTGGTCGGGACTGCCAATGCCCTTGGTGAGATCCACCCGAGCATCGGCACCACCAGCGGGGTTGGAGGCCAAGGAACCGCCCAACACCTGGCGGCGGAAGCGGATGGGGCGAGACGTCGGGAACGGTCGTCGACCTCGACCTCCGTTTCCAAATGCTTCTGTTAGGGCAAAGAGGGCCACAATGGCCACGATTAGGATGCTTGTCTTCTGCATGGTGCTGGCTTGGATTGCTGGAGCTGACTGTTGTCCAAGGTGGCTAATCAACTGCTTTTATACCTTGCCAAATGGGGAAGAACTGATCTGGGGACTCACAAGATTCATCTCGGCGCTGATTTCGGTTTTTCTGTCTTATCAGCTAGGAATTCCCCGGCTTAGCTTTGGTGTGTGAATTACCAGAGAGCATTTTTTTGTTTGCTTGTGCCACTTGACCTCTTCACATTTCCTTTCTATGCGCAACCTTGTCGTCACTTTTGGGGGTTTTACTGCCCAGGACTTTAGTTGGTGTCGATTTTAAAGTTAGTAAATTAGTGAAGACGAAAAAAAGGCCCGTTCTTTGTGCTTATACTTAGCTTAGAGTTTGCAACTAAATCTTCATAACACCGTTTAGTTTTTAAAGGATGGACACACAGACAAATTAAATGGCTAAATCGACTCGAGTCTTAATGCTGATTAAAAATATATACACCTAATAGGGTCGAATATGTATCCGAAACTTTGATGCAATATTTTAATTGGTATTATAATACCTTCTGCAAGGGTAATTAGCAAAACCTTAGCTTACAAAGTGCAACGACCTCTAAGGACGCACTAAAAGCTGTAGGGTGGACCTTCCTCAAAAGGTATAGGTCGGAAAGGTGCTTAAAATACAATTTGATTTGTGTCAAGTTTTTATATAAAGTATATTAGAACAAAAGAATATACTTTGTTTTGGCAGGCTCAAAAAGGTTGGATCGATACCGCCCTAAAAATTTGTTTAATTTATTTTTTTTGGATTCAAGCGCAGTCGTTGCAAAGCACTTACAAATGTTTAAGCTCGAGTTGCACAAAAGCTTTAATATGAAAATATAACAAAACCCAATGTTATAAATATTTATATATTTGTGGACCGAAATTTTGTTTTTACTGAATAAATTTTAAAGTTTAATAAAAATATTTCGGTTGGGTAATCCGGCTCGGATCCTGACGGTGAAATTTAAAACAAAGTGTTTTCAGGGCAAATTATTTACACAGTTATTATTTAAATTTATTTTTTATATTTTCAAAAATTCATAATTTTAAAAGATTTAATAAAAGTTGGCTTAACGAATTCATAATTTTAAATAAAATAAAAAAAAAATACGCAAATGCTCTATATTATAAAATGATGTTATTATTTGTTATTGGTTTTAAACGCTTTGAATTTTTGGATCTCTGACGTGACTTCGTCACTTTCGTTTGAAAACTGTGTATTTTATCAGTCAGTTGGTTTTACACAATGATCTTGTAAATATGGCTCCCAATTACCTTAAAACTTAAAATCCCTTAGAAAGGGTTACATTTTATAAATAACTCGGTGCTTTGAAAAATTGGTTTACAAAAATTTGTATTCCGATCTTTCGGTTTCCCATATCCATAAACATGATTAAAATTAGTTTGTTGAATTTAATATGCTGTTTAATAAATTAATTTTTTTAAAAAGAAAGTTTAACCAAAATGGTGGGAGAGTCCCAGGCCAGCTCCAAAGTTGGTCCTCTGGTTGGCAAACGGTCCACTCGTCCACTTGCTGGCCGATCCCGTGAGATCCAAGCGGGTTGCCCGATCCGCCGATGACCAAAGGTTAGCGCGTCCTTCGGCGCCGAGTTGCTGGCCAATTCCAGGGAAATTGCTGTGGGTCAAGGAAGCACCGTGTCCATTGATATGTGAGTAATCCAGACCAGCTCCATTGCGCTGGAACTCGAAACCATTGGCCAGTTTGTTCTGCGAGGCGAACACCTTGGCATCCAGATTGTGTCGGCCGTTATTAAAGAGATTGGCATGGGCCTCCTGCTGGAAGACGTCCTTCACTCCGGGCGTGTGCGTTCTGGTCAAAGAGGCTCCATGGCCAGCACTGTGATAAAAATAGAGATTTAGTTAGTGCCTCAATTTAATCAGGGGGATATTGAAAACACATACTTGTTATAGGCCAAAGTTCCACCACTGGTGACCGGACCGCCTTGAGTGTTTCCTGCCGCGAAGACCTGACCCACCAGGTTGTGGTCGGGACTGCCGATGCCCTTGGTGAGATCCACCCGAGCATCGGCACCACCAGCGGGGTTCGAGGCCAAGGAACCGCCCAGCACCTGGCGGCGGAAGCGGATGGGGCGAGAAGTCGGGAACGGTCGTTGACCTCGACCTCCGTTCCCAAATGCTTCTGTTAGGGCAAAGAGGGCCACAATGGCCACGATTAGGATGCTTGTCTTCTGCATAATGCTGGCTTGGATTGCTGGAGCTGACTGATGTCCAAGGTGGCTACTCAATCGCTTTTATACCTTGCCAAACGGGGAAGAACTGATCTGGGGACTCACAAGTCATCTCAATTTCGATTTCGGTTTGTCTGTGTTATCAGCAAGGAATTCCCCGCTTAGATCTGATGGGTGATTTACTTCTGCTTTTGTGTTGGTGCTTCCGGGACTTGAGCTCTTAACCTCCCCTTTCTGTGTGCCTCATTGACGCCACTTGTTGCTCCTTTGTGCGGATTTCACCCCCGCCCCAGGACATCAGTTGGCATCTTCAAGTGGTTTCCTTTGTGGCCTGTTAAAGGAGCGCACCATCAGCTTGCGCAGGACAGCATTTGACATTTATAAGCGATTCGCAATCATATTCACACTTGATGCCAGGCCTTATCAATAGATATTGGGGGAGGGCATATCATTAAGGGTGCTGGAAGGGGTTTATGAGCGGAATAGAGAGACAGAGAGAGCGGCAGGATTTGAGTGAAGTTTCAACCGAATTCTAATTCAATTTTCTGCGCAGGAGCAGTCAAAAAAGGATTCGAACCGAAAGAGCAGAGAGCGGAAACTTTAACTCGAAGTGTCAACGAAAAGCTTGCACTGAAAAGTAAAATGTATACAATAATAAGCTTAAATAAGTTCTAAGCTCTGACTTCTTTAAACGAAAAAAAACTTTTTAAAAATATTGCAAGCATTCTGGAACATAATGTAACTTTTGGTAATATTATACGAAACGTAATTATTAACCAAAAAAGTTTATTAAATATATAACTATGCTATGGTATGTTAGAATCTGCCAACTTAAATTATTAAATATATTTTTTTTGTGCTGTTCAATTAATAATTTATAAAAAGACTTTCGATTATGACTTTATATTTTGAAAGACTTAGCAAAACGTCATAACAAACCTATATATATATTTATATAGTCAGAACAACGATTACCTTTTTATAAGGGGGCTTGCCAATTTTTTGGTGAACTCACAATCCCATACATTATGATCTGAAGCCATCTGTTTGATTTGTGGGAATTTATATATGCTTATAAGACCGGTTTGTGAATCACTCGAGTTAGCTATTTGAATACGTTAAGATTTATTGTCTATCAACCGTGACTTTCTGTGGTTTCATTTTATATATTATATATATTATATATATTATATATATTCTTATCAGCTCTAGAGCTCAGTTGGTAACCGCAGATAAGCCAAAGTGATTCCCCTGAAAATATTTGATTATATTTGATTAGACTGTAAAGAAAAGTATAAACGAAATGAATGCTGTACTCTTTGTATTTATTGTTATATGTTTAAAAATGATAAGAAAATTTTGAAGAAATGACAAAGATTATTTAAAAAAGAATCTTGTTTGAATGTTCTTTTTTTTTGTATTTTTCAGCTGATTCCACATCTTTAAGCGGGGAGAATGGGAGGAGGCCTTATAGCAGCTTGAGCCAGACCCAGGTGATCTTCGGCGGCCAGGGCCTCGCGCCTTACTCGAATGGGGCGGGGATGGGAGGTGGGCCGTGGGCTGATGGGGCGTGGCTTGCCGGGAGTGGCCACAGCCATGGCCAAAACGCAGGCCAGCAGCAGGAAAATGATGGTGAACTTCATGTTGCTTGGAGTAGACAAATCGAACTGATTTGATGTCCATGGAATCAGTTGGCTTTTTATAGGTGACACCGCAGATGCAATGCGATTGGAAGTGCGGACACGTCTTGGCTGTGTTCACCATTGGTGTTTCCCCATCGCGGGGACTTTTCATCTTGTTTGTCAACGAATGGGCCACCAAAGGTGGTCGGCTTGACAATTGCCTTTGTTCTTTGGAAAATGTGAGCAGCTTTATTGCCCAGTAAATTACATTTGGTGAGATAAGTAATAAAGATAATGAAAATATTCCCTGTCGTTTAAGCTTAAGAACAACAACTTGTGTGCACTATATATACATGTAATGTTGGTATTTTGAACACAACTTAAAAAAAAACATCTTACAATGCTTAAACTCTTCGTAGCTATAGTCTTAATGCTACGTTAAATTTTTTATTGAATTTTAAACCGCTCTTTAAGACAATTATTAACTTAATTGGGCTAAATAGAACCACTTAAGACGTGATATATAAGCAATTTTTGTTTTTTATTATTGCACCCTTTGTTTTAAACAGTTTTTGTTTCTATTCAAGTAACTATTTTGGTTTGAACAAATTTGTATGCATTTGGTATTATTTGATTTGTTTAAAATATTTAAAAGCTGATAAGGAAATAAATTTTAAAACCAGGTTTTTGGCGCCAAACTGTCACTTTCACTCGGGCTGTCTCTCTCGCACCCGCACTGGCAGGTCGGAGCTCCCTCTCTTTCTTTCCTCTCTCTTTGAAGTCCTGCTGTCGGCCGTGTCAAATCTCATTAGACTGGATACACACACACCTCGGCACGCGACAGCGGACCGCGCTTGAGCGAGCTTTTCCGTCCGCTTTTGAGCGCAACATTTTCTTTTCGGGGCTCTTTGGGAAAACTGTTGGGCAGCTTGCCAAACGCTCGTATAGAGGCCAGACGCGAGGAAAAGTCTGCTTATCGATTACGCACGTAACACATTTGCCCCACAGTCGAAGAGCAAAAGGTTCAAGAAATCCACCGAGCCAAACATTATTTTTGGTGTGTAAAATATTTATCAAATAGTTGGTGAAAAGTGCGACAATTTTACATAATAAGTAGGTGAAAGAATCGGACTTGAAGAAGACTTTCGCCTCAAGTGTCTCAGCCTATGACAATGGCCTTCAAGAAGTGTGCGAAAATTGTCTATATATAGAGAGTGATATGTACCTTAGCTTTTGTGGGCACGTGTGGGCCATTAAAAACGGAATAGATCTGCAGTATAGCAAAAGGATTTTCAATATTTTAAAGATTTATTAAGAAAGAATTTACAAAAGGCCAACAAATACTAAACCAAATAAATACAATTAGTTTCGTTCTTACTTGTCTACTTAATATATGTTATATTTTCTCACAAATTTATGATTTGTCTACATTTTAATTTGCATGTATTCTTTGGTAGCAACAACAAGTCTGCTCTATATACAGACAATAGCCCACATATACACACATATACTCTTACCCATTTACCCACATTTGTTATGTGCCAACGGTGCGTATGTGTGATACCAGTAAACTCAACAAAAAATGGAATGAAAATTACTCACGCTTAAAGCTCACCATCTAATGCAATTCACTCAAATCGCATGAGCTCACTCAAAAACAGAGTGAATGGCAGAGCTTGTTTGTTTTGCCATTGCCAAGTCTCTGAATTATTCGCTTTTCCTCGCAACCACAAGTGGAAAGCGTAAAATATTTGATTGCGCACTCAAAAGAACTGGGAAATGTCAAACGGAAAGAGGTTGACAGCAGTAATAGTTCAAATTCCTGAGTGGAAACAACATGAGTGGTTTCCAGTTGCGCTTAGCCTTGTACATAAGCAGTAATCCCAATTATACACTATCAAAAAGTTGAGATTTAATTGCAATATATATTATATGGTGTACATAAAGAGCTAAACTATTTATTAAACATGCAATAGCTGCAGTTTGGCATATAGATTGTAAGAGTTAGTGTTTAATATTATAAAGAATTTGTAAGTTTCTGGTAGTTTTAATAAGTAAAATTATTTGAGTACATAAATTAAAATAAATTATGAATTTAATAATTATAACGTTTCTCTGTGAAACAATGAATTATTTACAATTTTGTATTAAGCTTGTCTTAGTACTTGTATTGAGTACTTTAACATAGATTATAAAATGTTTTCTTACCATTCTTATTATTCAGGCGTCACAGTGAAGTACTTTAAATTTATTTTTGTAAAAAAAAAAAACACATTGCAATTTCTATGATGATTTGTGTGAGGCAGAACAAAGCGTTGGTAATGCTGAATTGTGTCCTTTGTTTTCCACAGCTGCCGAATGATAATGGAGATGATAATGAGGCTGTAACTGGGCCACAAGAGACCAGACCGAAAGGAAGTGCCAGTCAAGAGCGGAAAACCAGCAACCAGAGTGGGTAGGGACCAGAGGAGGAGCAGACAGGACCAAACAGCAGACACCATCCGAGTTCGAGGAACCGGCGGACAATGAATCCCTACACAGCGGGCGGCGGAGGAGGTGCCGGTGGCGGAGGAGCCAATCCCTTTGGAGCTCCGGCCGGAGGAGCAGGATTTGGCCAGCAGGGCTACGCCTACGAGCAGCAGGCAACAGGTGGCTACGACCAGGGAATGAACTATGGCAATCAGCCGCAGCAGCAGGCAGCCGGATACGGACCACCTGGAGCCAGACCACGGGTGGATGTGGAGGCCAGTGGCGAGGTGGATCCCAATTTGTAAGTAGAGGGGTTTTAAGAAAATAATACTTTACACCGCTAAAGAGGATATCTTACATTGATATACCTTAGATAGCTTAGATATTATTTCTACTTTAAACAGAACATTATAGTAAGCTAAAAAATAATCATTATAATCCTAATTAGATAAAACTATATCTATATGTTAGCTCATAAAATAATGTACGAAAAATTAATTGCAAGATTTAAGAAATCTTATATTATTATGAGCTTAAAATATGTCACTAATTTTATACATTTTTATGTTCTTATTGTTCTTATATTGATAAAATATTTTAACAAATTAATACTTTTGTTAGTATGACTTTCCTGTAGTGGTTTATGTCGAATTTGAATACGGACTTGAACATAATAGCTAAACCTTTTAGAAATTTATAATTTATTTACTTTATTTTATAAGTTTGTATAAGTAATTCAAATTGGTAAAGATCTCTTTAGCCCGAGCAGATTTTGACTGTGTTAAGTGTTGTTGAGCGGTGTCTTAAGGATGCTTCAATAATTCAAATGGCTAACAAAATTTAAAATATATTTCTTACTAATTTATATTATACCCTTAGATATCCTGAGGCCAAGGATTCAACGCACAAAGTTCGCGGCCACTCGGACATCCTGGAAATGTTCTTCGGGGCGAGCACGGAGCGTGAGCTGATTCCCGTGAAGAGTTTCTACTTCTTCTTCTACGCCGCCTTTGGATCACTGTTCCCGCTGATGGGCGTGTACTTCAAGCAGATGGGCATGAATCCGGGCCAGTGTGGAATCCTGGTGGGCATGCGGCCCTTTGTCGAGTTCCTCTCGGCCCCGTTTTGGGGCTCCTATGCGGATCGCTGTCGCCAGGGCAAGAGGTTGCTACTGGGCTCACTGGCCTGCTGGGTCCTATTCACCATTCCGCTGAGCTTCATCCGGCCGGAGGCTATAAACTGCATCGAACGCCGGAATGCCACCGACTTTGTGCTGACATACACTCGAACCAAACGCGATCTGTCGGCCCAGTATGTGCCGGAGCAATTGGATCTGGGAGCAGGGACCATGCCAGCGGATGAGGCTCTGGAGGAGGCAGAGGCATCCCACAGCCGGCACAAGAGATCCCTGCTCCTGCCCAGGATCGATGCGGGCATCTCGCCGGTCCACATCAACTTTGTGAGCAACTACGATGATAAGTACCACCGGGACTACGTGACGCCCATCTTTAGTTCCATGGTTTACAGGACTCCGGTAAGTCGGTCGAGAAGAATGTGACGAATAAATAACAAACACTTTGATTTTTAAAATAATATTATATATATTATATTTTGTTAGAGTTGTACATATGCATTTGGACTTAAAAATTGTAGGCGTTTGTTAACTGTTAGTTCTGTTTAGTTATTCCTGTCTAAAGACCTTTTAATTTTAATGATTGTTATTGTTAACATTTTTTGCTTATTTGGCAAAAAACATTAATGTTGAGTTAAATAAATATGCTTTAGATATCAGATACCAATAAAAATTTTATTGATGTTTAAATGTTTATTATATAGATATTGGTTAATATAATGATATCGATAAAAGTATGATGGAAGTTAAAGTATTTTAATTATTGTTGCCCTGATTTCAGATGACTTATGAGTTGATTTAAGCTGTTTAATCAGCTGTTTTGATGAATATTTCATACTAATTTATCTAAAATTTTTTTAACACCATTTCAAGAGCTTAGGTATGTTTTAACAATCTTACAATAGTTTGGCATACCAGCTGCCAAGGGTATTCCATTTTGAAAACTCACTCACACTTTCCCCATTTCCCCCCGCAGGATATCCAAAAGGCCTTCTTCCTGCTGCTGCTGGTGATCCTCATTGGCGAGTTCTTCAGCGCCCCGGCGATCACTTTGGCGGATTCGGCCGTGATCACGTTGCTGGGCGAGGATGCGGACAAGTACGGACATCAGCGGATGTTCGGGTCATTGGGCTGGGGCATCTCCATGTTCCTGGTGGGCATCGCCCTGGACCACTCCACCTCATTCTCGAACCACCCGTGCGGGGCCGGCAACAAGGAGAAGAACTACAACATCTGTTTCTCCATCTTCTCGGTGCTGATGACGTGCGCGATAATCTCCGCCTCGAAGATCACCTTCAAGTACGACCCGGTGGACGAGCAGATGGCGACGCAGCAGCAGGCGCAGTTCGTGGACCCCAACAAGCGGGCCGAGGAGGAGTCGATGAACCAGTTGGCGGCCCAACTGAACCTGCCATCGCTGGCCGTTGGTAGCGGCAGTGCCGCTTCGGGTGCCGGTGCCGGTGGCGTCAGTAGCTTCCTGGCCGCCGGCCATCAGCCACAGCCGCACATTGGGGCCGAGTCCAAGGTCTTCGCCCAGACGGCCAAGGAACTGCCCGAGTGGATGACCGTGCTGACCCATTTTAAAGACCTGAAGACCGCCTCCTTCCTGTTCGTTGCCTGGTTCATGGGCTTTGGCATTGGCCTGATCTTCACCTTTCTGTTCTGGCATCTGCAGGACTATGGCGGCACTCCCACCCTCTTCGGTGTGGCGTCTGTCATCAATCACGTGTCCGAGATATTTGCCTACTTCTTCAGCTTCCGTCTGATCACCCAAATCGGTCATGTCAAGGTCTTGTGTCTGGGATTGATAGGTAATGTGCTGCGCTTCCTCTATATTTCGTACCTGACCAATCCGTGGATGGTGCTGCCCTTCGAACTGATGCAGGGCATCACCCATGCGGCCGTGTGGGCCGCCTCCTGTTCGTACATTGCCCACAATACCCCCAAGCATCTGCGAGCCTCGGCTCAGGGCGTCCTCCAGGGTATCCACCACGGATTGGGGCGTGGCTGCGGCGCCATCATTGGCGGCATGTTCGTCACCTACTACGGTACTACTACTACCTTCCGCTGGTACGGCATCGCCTGCCTCTTCGTTCTCGGCTTCTTCATCTTCGTCAACTTCTACCGCAAGGAGCAGGGCTTCATCTCCGAAATACCCGTCACCGAGGATCCGCATCAGGTGAGTTTAAGAAGTCAAGAATAAAGATAAGAATAAGATTTGAAATCTTGAAACTTGTTATGTTGTCTAAAAGTATGCTGTAAAAAAATAACCTCGTCATTCCTAATGAACCGTTTAAAGGGCTTCACTTAAAACAAATTGTTGCCTACTTTTAGACACTTCATTATATTCTGGATTGTCACAACAAAAACTTTTCCAATCAAATTTATACGTTTTAAAATTGTTTCGTATTTAAAAGCAAATTTATTGAAAACTTAAATGAAAATCTATAGAAACTAACTCATAATTTGCTATATTTATGAAGATAGTTTTTTAAAAATATCTTTTGTAGTTTTGCACAGCTGTGGTCAAAATAATAGTAGTGGGACAATTTAAATTTCTCAAAAACACACCTGTAAGGAATATTTAACTATCCACCAAATGAGTTTTAAGAAACCATTAATATTTTTTTATATTCTGCTATATAAATAAAATTATTATTCTTTTTAGGTGGCCGAGGAGACTTCGCATTTGGCTCCTCATGGGGTTCCAAGCAATCCAATTCCACGGGCTCTGTCCAATTCGCGTCTGAACGAGATGAACCCGAACGGAGGACCCTATGGCACCTACCAGACCACTGGCGGCAATCTGGACATTCCCGGAGCCAATCAGCACAATCCATTCGCTCAGTAAACGGGGACACCCAGTAGTCGGCTCACTCAGGCCATCTTCACACTCATAGAACTAAAACGAACAAAGTATAACCGCAAACATATCTTGGACATTGGCCTGCAATATGAATTGCATAACTGCATTGCTTTATTTTGATTTGTTGGGCAGTCAACATACGATCTACACATAGCATAGCATATACATATACACATATATATTTTATATAGGACATGCCACATAGCCAGCATAAATGTTCCGTATGAGTTAGATTGGTTACAGTCGATGGAGTGGGGTAAATCGAAACGAATTTTCACATAGCAGCTTAGCAATATATATAGGGCAATATATGTGTGCGTACGGATAGATGTATATATATATTGTGCCGATCTATAATATTTATAGGCCTTTTTTATATCAGTTGCATGGCGCCGGGCGGATATTATCCTCACGGTTTGTTTTTCTTTTCTATTTAAAAACATGCAGAGTTTGTTGCCTGCTTTTGGGCGATCACCAAGCAAATCACACATACGCATGGGTTACCCCCCGAATCACACATAAAGTACCTATACATCTATGCAAATAGCAACAGCAAACAGAGATTGAAAACATAACAAAAGAAAAACACCAATAAAATGTGAATACGGGGCGTTTCAAGGCTACAGGACATCGGGAAGCAGTGCGAGCTGCTTCGTTTAGCCGCAGTTGATTATGACTATGATGTTCACCATACTATTTTATAGTATTAATTTAGATTATCCCTTGTCTTATGGCTTTGAAACGCACCGTATGGGTTTCCCAATAAGTTAGGGGAGTTCTTGTAAAGGAAATTTTATTTACAATTATTTTACAAGTTAAATGTTTTTCAATGAAACTGTTGAATTCTTGGTTTCACATAATTTAAACGTTTAAGAGTTTTAATTCTTTAGAAATTGGAGAGAAATTGTCGTTCCCGAAATTGTCCCTTGCAATATAACAAAGAACAAAATTAAGTAATTTAATGGAATTATGAAATATAAATGTAGTTGCATTAAAAAAGAATTTGAACTAAACTTGAACTTAAAGAAATTTAGTGATGAGAACAAACAAATAAAGCCTAAAACTTTAACCAAATGTTGTAACGAATGATATTATGGAAATCCGCCTCATTGCAATCAACTGTTGAATATTTTAATTTTACACAAAAATATACTAACAAAATGACATATTTTGACATACCTAAGAAGCATATAAAATAGAAATATAAAAATAAAAATAAATATACGTTTATATAGTATATGGAAGTTGACGCACCAAAGTGAAAAAGAAAACTAAACTAACTGTATCTGTACCTAAGAGATATTTTTTCCTGTTTTCAGCTCGACGAAAAATTAAGCTAATATAGCTTATCTCTCGCTCGATATACAAAAACATTAATACATAAAATACTGTAAACACTATATTTAAATATTGTTGATAGCAAATTTGATTGAATATTTTCTAGTAATGATACGCTAGTTCTTGTGTACAGCACCATATTTCTTGAGAACTTTCGGGTAGATTAACCTTAGTATTATGCATTCTGTACAACTGCACTCACAGTTATGTTTGTTGAGCCGATACTTAAAGAAAACTTTCTCTATATATATATAAATTGAAGCATCAAACTCATATATGGTATACACTTATATAAGAATGTACAAGTATTATACACAAAGCGCATACATATGATACAAAGGATACAATACCCAAACCGAAACCCAAAAACACAGAATGAGAAAGTTAAAGTGAAAATGAAAATGAAAATAAAGCAGCCGGTAAACGCAAGAAATTAATGTAATTATGTATGTTTAATAAAACGTTTAACTACCGAGTGAAGTCTAAAGACAAAAGGCACAAATTCTTTGGCCAACCATCTGTGTTTGCTCTTGGTCTCTATATATATAGTAACCTATATAAATCGGAGCACTCGTTCGCGGTGTGCAAATAAAATGCGCCTGGCGTTCGTTTGTTGGCTGCTCTGCCTGGCTGTTGGTCAGATCAATGGAACACCTGTGTATTCACCACCAAAAGCACCGGCCGTTCTGCCAATGCCAAAAGACAGTCCCCGGAGAGTTCCAGCACCGCCAAGACCTGTTCCTAGACCACCACCGCCAAGATTAACACCACCGCCGCCCAGGCGACCTCCCATCGCACAGCCCACCAGGAGACCAACAATTCCACCTCGCAAGACCACCAGAAGACTGCCCATCACAAGGAAACCCACAAGACCGATCCCGAAACCACCAGCAACCCAGAGACCTACCAGACCAACTGTTGGGCGAACCACTCGAAAGTTTTTAATTTGGTCGCGAGTTCCCACTAGACTTCTACCCACTAGACCAAATATAAGGCCTACGCTCTGGACAAGACGACCAGTGCGTCCTCCGTTGCCAACTGTTCGTCCAACGCCTCCAAGGGTGCGTCCCACCTTATGGACAAGACCTCCTATAAAAATCACAGCTCGACCCACCATTAGACCTACGATTAGACCCACTATTAAACGCACTTTATGGACAAGAACTCCAGTCAAACCTACTATTCCCATAAATCGGCCTACTACAACTCGGCCAACAATAAAACCCACTATAAGACCCACAAATAGATCTTCAAATCGACCCACCCTTTGGACAAGGGGTCCTATTGGACCCACCTTGGCAACAATTCAATATCCAAATCCCACTCTATGGACCAGACCCCCAGTTAGAGTTACGAATCCTACACCTCGATCTACACTATGGACCAGATCTCACATCCAGACGACTAGACGTTTAACATTTATTTTCATTGAGCCCTCGCCTACGCCTTTAACACCACGGCCAATTCGAAACACTAGACTTCCAAACCCAGACATAACTCGATCCACTAGAAGGCTGATTTTTGTATTTCCAAGAGACACTACGGCAATCGCTCGTCGTCCCAATTGGACAGTCCATCCAACAGTTACGATTGTAAGAGCCTAAACAAAATGAATATGCGGAAATAAAATGTTGTATCTGAATTTTTGTGTGAACCTTCTTTTTTCCCCATTTTGGTAGTGACTGTACTGCATTAACGCCATTTTAAATTCTTTATAACCCATCAGCCAGTTAAAGTTTTTAAATAGTCCGTTAAGCTGCAGTGCAATGACGAAAATTAAAACCAAGAAAGGAAGCAAACTTTTACAAGCCGTATTTTTTATACCCTTGCAATGTTGCAATGTGATTCATAACTGTGAAATATTTAACAAGTAATAGATCACAAAGAATTAATTAAAAAAAATTTATTTTAATATTTTAAATTTAAAATAAAAAAAATAAAAAATAACCAATTCATTAATTTTCTTTAATATTGCATTAAGAAAAAGCATTCATTCCAGTCAAGACTTAAAATCGGCTATGTATCAAGGTTGTAGGGGTAGCAAAAAAAATATGATAACTTAACTTTGATTATCATTAAAATAGTTAATAATTTAAAATACTTAACTGATCAGTTATTCAGCTCTAGCGAAACGCAATGCCAGAGTCACAAATCTAAAGCAAGCTTAAAACTGAGTTTTATGCACAGACTGCACATGGTAGACTCCGTCTTTAACGACCCCCATCTCCCATGACAAATAGCCCCGGAGTGCCGGCATACCCAGCCCAAATCGAGGGAAACTGGAAGGGGAAAAGTAGTTGTGGCATACCGGAAACGCTTCAAGTTTGTTGAGCTCATTCGTCTCTGCGATTTGTTGGCATTTCAACGGGCTGACGTGCTGGCTGGCAGTGGGCGGAATGAGGGGGCGTGACGGGTGGTTGGGCGGAGGGCGTGGCGCAGTGGCTGCTCATGCAATGATAAATGAAGTTTTAGTGGCTTTTGACCCATTTAATAAATTGTTAAAGTTGAAGAATGCACAAGAATATTGTAAGCTTGTTGGCCACCATTTCTTTTCCTCTCTTCGTTTTTCATTTGTTTTTTTTATTTGTATTTAATTTTTATTTTGTTGCCGTTGCTGCTGCTGCTGCCGTATGCTGAATTAGGGTTAATTTAAAAGTTACCATTGCAACGCTGACCCATGGTGAATAAAGTTGTTGCCATGTTGCAAACTTTGCCGCTCACTTTTCATGCCCCACTTCAGAAGTTTTGTTGAAATTTAAATAATTCTGTTAAATTGCATAACGTGCCCAGCTGTCCAGCCCTCCATCGTCCGGGGAACTTTGGACTTTCTGCTTATTAAGTTAGCGGCGACGACAGTTTTCAGTTAACGTGATTATGTGCCATTAAAAAATTGTATATTATCCATGAGCCACAGAAGAGTGGAGGAAAAACTCGACTCAAATATCCATGACAATAAATAAGAAAGAGCGGAGATGAGGGGGGATTTTGGGGAGCCGAATACCCTCCAGCCATAATAAGCAGCATAAAAAGTCCTGGCAAGGCTCTATTAGAGCCAGGACTAAGCAGCTTGGTTTCGCCCCAAAAAAAATAAAAAATATGAAATAAAGTATGCGCTGGCAACTCTTCCTCGTGGAAACCTTTGCCCCACTCCTTGTCAAATATATATTCTCAGCTATATAAACAATTTTCTTTTATGCAAGAATAACAAGCAACAAGAATGGATTTTTGCATAAGAAAGCCCTGGACTGAAGTTGAAGTACGATGGCTGAGCGAAAATCCTCTCAAGGAAGCTGCTGCACCCAAGTCGGTCCAAATGCAATCCGAGCTTTGTGTTACCATGAACAATCGGACTGGCAGGCTTGCCTTTTGATTGGGGGATTAATGGGGATGGCCCGGGGATTGCGGGGCACTATCCAAAAGTGAATACCAATGCACCCGATATATGTGTAAACCACTCCCTTGAACTCTGTCGTCTTTAACATCAAGTGCTATTTGAAATGTCTTAACTAACTTTATCACATAACCAAAGGCTAGTCTCTAAAAAAAATGTGTATAGTATGTTAGGGTTTGTACTAAAAGAAGAGGTATTACTTAGAGTTTTCTAATAAAATAACAATTAATAAAATTAAATTAAAAAAAGAAATTAAATTACAGAAAAGGTTGAACTGTAATACATTTTACTTAAACTGTATATGTGTATTTAAGTAATTTAGACTCGTAATATTAAATAAGAAGTATAAGTTCAACGGAATTATAAATTAGCTCTTCCAGATTAATTATGAATATTATTTATTTTTGAATTAACATTTTTTTTTCTATTTATTCATCTAAGCTTGAACACTTATCAACAGTTTTTTATTAATATAGATCATAGAAGGGGCTTAATTCTCCTTTGTGATGTAGCTTACTAAGTACTGTTATATTAAAAAAAAAAAGGTTGATCTTGTATATTACACTTTTTTTTTAAATTTACACCCCTGAAAAATAGTATTTTTAATAGTTTCCACTGTAGTTTGCATATTCTTCTATTGCTTATGTTAAAGGCAACATTTGGAGGAGAGCCACAAAGATGAAGCTGAAGGAAAACTGCACAGCTGAAAAAAGGGTGAAAAGCGTGGTAAAGTGGGAACCAAGGGCAGAAAGCAAAGTCGACGACATTCAGCCGCAAGAAGTTGTCGTCTGCTGGAAAAAGGGAAGAAAAGTTGTGGGTGGCTGGTAAAAAGTGCTGAGCATAAATAAGACATTTGCGTGTGTAAGCACCAACAACACGCAAAACAACAACGATGGCTTAAAATAACTCCAACACGCAACATTGAAATGTGGCCAAGAAGAAGAAGAAGAAGAAGAAGAAGGAAAAGCTGCTGACTCCAGTTTCAGAATCTGCAATAATTTTCAAACTGCTTTCGCCCGGAGAATCTCGAAAGTTGCAAAAAGTAAATGTAATGCAAAATGCAAAGTCATCGCTCGCCGTTGTCCTCGAGTGGCAGTAACACCACCAACCTCCTTTTTTTACCCGAACCCACATTCCCTATCCCTCAATTATCTATACCCCCCTTGGCTATTCAACGTCCTCCTGTACATAGAAAGAAAATGATTTTTAAATTAAAAATAGATTTCCCATTCAATACTAAACAGTTTGGATTTGGAATAACATGTAAAAATTATGATTTCGATTTCTTTATTTAAGCGTGTTTTAACACAGTCAATGTCCATTACATGGAGATTTATAACTTCATTTGATGATATATAATTTTAAATGTTTTTTTAACATAATTTTTTCAGTGTAGCTGGCTTAGCAAGTGCTGACATTTTTCCCTCAGTGTGCAGCCAATTGTTGTGATTTTTTTCTGTTCTCCGACTCGTGCACATGCATTTATTTAAATTTCTTTGTCCTCGTGTCTAGGAGTCCTCTGCCCAACCACCCGCTCATTTTGCCAATGTATTCATTGTCTGTGAAATTGTTGTGTGTTTCCATGCCGTCGCATAATGTCTCTCTTTGCTCCCTACGTGCTCCTCATTCCGGCTTTTCCCCATTTCCCCGCCTTTTTGCCCAACCCCCTTTTGCCCAAGCCTTTGGGAGGTGCAATCCTTGTAGCGACTGCAGTTTGCGGTTTTTAACTTGTGACAGTTTTAAGTGGCTGCCGTTTGTCTCCGTGGCTAGATTCATTCACGTTCACATTCACATTCACATTCACATAAGCAGGATGCCCATGCACATACGTGGGTGCTCTGAGATTTAGCCAAATTGTAATGCTCCTTATTCGCTGCTTATGCATAAATCGTTGGCCATAATGATGCTAAGTAAGCAGCTCCATTTCCCCGACTGGGATAAGCGCCATTTGAGCCTGATTAAATAAATCCGTATTCACAGACCGATTTGCGAAATTAACTTTGTGGCTTTTGGGTGTTTTGGCCAGATTTCTGGATGAACGAAAGAAAAGGTTATGCATTTTGTAAAACCAGTTGGTGGTAAGAGATTTTTCCTTTATTTATAGAAGGTCTTCTGGGAAATTTACGTCGAAAACTAAAAATAATTTGAACAAATGTTAAAGAGCTTAGCTTTAACATATTACTTATACGCAGTGTTGCCATTGCTTGCTTAAATATTTGATGGACACTTGTCTAGACAAAGTCTTATGTCTGCATGAGAAACTTTCATAAATGTGTTTAAAATTGAGAATACACCTTAGGGGTACATCATATTATTAAATACATAAAAAAAAAAACATTTTTAAATTGTAGCATGTAAGTTTTTTAGTTTGAAAATTCTAACAAGTGCCAGAAACCACTTTTTCTTGCATTTTGTGAGGAGTTAGAGTTTCTTGCGTATGACAAAGCCACCTACTGCGATGGCATCCGCCTATCTTTCCGAGCTTCTTCCGCTTCCCTTGCCATTTGGGTTTCAATCACGCCTCTTCAACAGCAGATCCAGCCGGCTTCGCCTGCAAACCCTTGATACCTGGCGGAGCACCACCTTTGCCTCCATTGTCAATATGCGGCCTTTTGCTGCCACGCCTCCCGGTAGACCGCCTCCCAGTACGCACTTAGCTGTTGGCAGCATCATAATCCATAGCATAGTTTCCGGGCGCTGCCAACAACCTTTGGCTTCTGTTGTTACTCGTCCTGAGCCGTGCGCCCAGAACAAAAGGAAAACAATTTTCATGCGTGCATGGCAGAAATCAAAGGAAAGGGGCACCCCACACGGCTCACGGCCCACACACATCATCCGGCCCAACAATGCCTATTTTAGTGAGATAAGAAAGGAGAACTGGGCACGGCAGCATCAGCGTCAGCAAACCCTTCAAAGCAATTTCCAAGTGGCCCCGTTCTCGGGTTCAGTTCAGGCATACACAGGTTGGGCACTGGTACTATATACCTACATACGTGTTTTCGTGGATCCGGCAAAAGGTAAGCGTGGCTGGACCGAAAAACCAGCGACTCACTTCACTCATCGCTTAAGTGGCTGTTGTGAAATGTTGCTGCCTTCCCTGTTTGCCCATACCCTGTGTTACATTTGGCAGTCGGGGAGCTCAAAAAACGAAGTAATCACAAACCTATATTGTGCTCAAATCATTTTAAATGGAATTCGTAGCATGTTTTTATTAAAAAACAATGTCAAACTTTACCT